AAGCCTATATTGAATGCTTGGTTCAGACCCCAACTCTGCCTCTTACTGATTGGGTGACCTTGGGGGAGTTATGAGGCTCATCTTCCATTTCTTCACCTGCAAAATGGATTTAAATAATAACAGTCCTTGTCTCACAGGGAAGATTCAAAGAAACCACTCAGATTAAGCAGGCAATGTGGTGCCAGCTCATGGTAACTCAGATCCACAAGGACAAAGGATGACTTGCTTGCAAGGTTCCTGTGTGAAAAGTTGCCTTGGCAAAGACAATTGAAATCATCAGAAAGGGAAACCTGTTTGTTTAGTTGCTGCTTCCTGGCGGGGGTGGGGCTGGAGTAGTGAGGTTTAGTTTTAAACAGAAGCCTTTGGAAATGAAGTCGTAGGAGACAGCCAAGTGGAGATCTCTTAGCAGTGCAAGTGTGCTCAGTTGTATCCAACTTTGCGACCCCATGGACTGTAGCCTGCCAGGCTCCTCTGTCCATGGGATTTTCCAGGCAAGAATACTAGGATGGGTTGCCATTTCCTTCTCTAGGGGATCTTCCCCGCCCAGAGATGGAACCCACATCTCTTGGCAGGTGGATTCTTTACCACTGAGCCACCTGCGAAGCCCAGAGATCTAAGGGCTTGTGGGGGGTTTGTGGAAATATGGAAACAGACTGGAGTTCAGGTGAAAGATAAGGATGAACTATGAAAGTTGCTAAGAGAGAAAATCCTAAAAAGTCATTTTCTCAAGGAAAAAAATGTCTGTAACAACATATGGTAATGGTTATTAACTAGACTCTTTGGGGATCATTTCGTAATTTGGGGTTAGGGCTAGAGTGGAGCTTCCCAGGTGAATCCGTGGTAGAGAATCCACCTGCCAATGCAGGAGATGCAAGAGATGTAGGTTGGATCCCTGGGTGCCAAACATCAAGCAGGCTGCCCCAGCCCTGCCCCGACCCCAAGACCAGCTCCTCCCACCTCGTTTCCCTCGCCACACTCAGGTCACAGGACCTGGCCTGGGGTGGTGGTCTCCTGCCCCCAGGAACCATCACCCTGGCTCTGACCAACATATCAAGTCTTATGAGACCGCTGAGAATCCTCGCAGGAGACAGTGACTGGGAAGCCAGGGCGGGAAAATTGGAAATAGGAGCCTGAGGTCATTTTCCTGTCTCTGTTCATCCATTTCTCCAACATGTCTCTTGTACAGACCCAGCTCACCCTTACCTCGCTGTATTTCTAGAGAGGCTTTGGGAAGCTCCTGGTGCCTAAGAGTTGCGGGTTCGTGTACTTAAAGTCTGGGTGGGGTGGTGCCAGAGCATATTCAAATTCCTTAATGAGCATCAACCAATCAGAGTGGAGCTTGGGGGTGTGGTCTTAGCGGCCCCCGATGTACCAGAAGTTATCTCTCAGCTGCTGGACCTTGGGAAAGGAAGGCGTGAGGCTCAGGCAGGAACCGTTTGCTCACCAGCATGGAAGTCCTTCGATATTTCCAGTGATACGGCCATTTCAGTCTGTGCCAGTACCAGGTACCAGCGCTGCCTGCAGCAGCCGCCACCACAGCCTTTTTGCCAAACCTCTGCCTTCAGCCTCTCCAAGGGTTCCGCTGCCGCCTTTCCCCGCCCCCAAGAGAAAAGTTGTCCTTGCATCGTTCCTGACCCTTTAAGGCTGCCCTTGAAAAATAGTGCAGTTGTTGAACTAGGACTCACAAAGGCTTCTCTCTACCTGTGCGGCCTGGTTCAAGTCCACTCATCTTTCTAAGTCTTGTTTTCTCATCTGTAAAATGGGCTAACATCCATGCTTCCACCCTGCCAGGTGGTGATGTGTATCCAATATCCATATTCATGTAGAAGGGCTTTATGAACAACTTCTCAGACATCACTCTTTTATTCTGATGATGCCCGTAGGAAAATGCTAAGGAGGACGAAATGTGGTATATCCTCTTTCCATTCCTCTTGGAAGGATGTTGCCCTCATCTCTGAGGAACAGCAGAGTCCTCAGCCCAGGACAAAGCATAGCCCTGCCCATCCTGCAGGTAGGAGGGAGAGTAACCTGAGGATCCAGCATCATTCAGAGCAATTATACCACTATCACCACCAATCAGGAAGGGCTTCTTGAAGGAGAAAACAAGCCAGAGACAGGGCTTGCCAAGGGGCATGAGAGGCAGGAAGAATGGTACAGCTTGGGAAAGGGCACTTCTGTCCCCCCACCTACCCCCAGGACCAGCTCAAGAACTCAAATCTTGGCTCCATCCCACTTTCCCAAGACATGACCTTGGTAGTTATTTAACCTCAAAGTCTCTGTTTCTCAGGAGTAAAGTTGTAAGTCAGTCCTAAGTCATGTCCAACTCTTTTGCAACCCCATGGACTGTAACCCGCCAGGCCTCTCTGTCCATGGGATTCTCCAGGCAAGAATACTGGGATGGGCTGCCATTTCCTTCTCCAAGGGATCTTCCCAGCCCAGGGATCGAACCCAAGTCTCCTGCATTGGCAGGTGGGTTCTTTACCAGTGAGCCACCAGGGAAGTCCTGGGAGTAATGTAGGAGCAAAAAAATCTGCTTCGTAGGGTGGTGAAGATGAAGTAAGATAAAATTCTAAAGCACTTAGCATGGTACCTGGCGTACAACAGGTGCTCAATAAAGGAGAGCTCTTAATGAAAGTTTCCACACTCCAGGCCACCCTGCAAAAGCTGAAGGCAGAGGAGTATATCCAACAGAAGAGGGAGCTCTTGGCCCTCTATCGCGACCGAGATGGGGAGTCCCCAGGCACCAGGCCCTCCACGCCTTCCCAGGAGGGCTCTCAAAACAGCACGGAGGGCAGGTAAGAACCACAGGGAGCACAAGTTCTCCCAGGGTAGGGGGGCTGCAGGCTGGGAGGAAAGGAAAGGGAACCTGTGAGGCTAGGAATGACAACTTTGGCTGGTGGGGGGTGGGTGAGACCTGATTGAGGAACCCAGGCTATAGTTTGGCACCAGGCCTGTAAAGGACCACCTTTGGGTTAGCCAGCCTTGGGTGGGCACAGGGTAAAAGAAACAGATAGGAGAGGCGCAAACTCCCTGAGAGGAATAGGCTCCCCAGGCCAGGGGTTTTGCAGAATGTCAGGGCTATAGGAACCCGGCTAGTTCAAATCTGGACGGATAATGTGAGAGCTTCATCCAAAATAACACAGTTGCTGAGCATCATGGTTTATTACAGAGAAAAAAAAAGACTCCATGCATGGAGGGGGTGGGGAACTCAGCAGAGCTCAGGAAAGAGCAAATACTTGATAACAAGTTTCTGGACCCGAATGTAGGGGCTAAAATGCCTTAAAGGAGCTTGTGGTCTAGCCAGTGAGATGAGAAAAACAATCAGTGGAGTGCAAAAAGTAAGACCAAAATAAGTTTGAAGGAGGGGCCATTTCTGGATGGAGGGGTCGAGGGAGATTCCCTGGATTTGAACTTGACCCCTCAGCATCTGACTCTGACCATTTGCTATTAACTCTAGGACTTGCGAGTCCTCGACTGTCATCCCGCACCTGGTGGTGACAGAAGACACAGATGAAGATGCCCCCTCGGTACCAGATGACACCTCGGACTCTGGCTATGGCACTCTCATCCCAGGCTCTCCCAAAGAGTCCCACTCCCCGCTGAGCCGTCTACGCTTGAGGGCCCTTCGGCGGGACCCTCGCCTCACCTTCTCCACCCTGGAACTCCGAGATGTCCCTCTGCGTCCCCAGCCTTCTGACCCCAAGGCTCCCCAACGCCGAAGCGCCCCTGCACTGCCTGAGGAAGGTGTCCGGAAAGCAGGCAGTCTTCCCAGGGTAGACCCACCAACCTCCTCTGAGGAAGAAGACCAGACCTCAGTGGGCGAGAATGTGGTGGTCGAAACCTTGCAGAGGGCCCAACTTCGGGGGCAGCTGTCCTCCTCCCCAACCCACGCTGACTCTTCTGAGGAAAGCCCCTGGGAGTCCTCAGGGGATGAAGAAGAAGAGGGGTATCCCTCCCAGGGACCTGACTACACCCCCTCCCCTCACCCCCTCCGGCCCGAGGACATGCTCCGAGAGATCCGCGAGGAACTGGCCAGTCAAAGGATCGAGGCCGTCCCTGAGCCTGGGGACAGCAGGCCTCGGAAGCTGACTCGGGTCCAACTGCAGAGGATGCGAGGCTCTCATGTCGTACACCTGGACACACCCCTGACCACGTCGTAAGTGCAGAAAGGAAGCTAGCTTGGGTCGGAGTGGAGGGAAAGGCCAGTGTGGAACCAGCGGGAATGCAAGAGGTGGTGGTCGGTAGTGGAGGGGGGTGGAGGGTGAGATGGGTCAACATAGGAGATCTTCCCAGAGCAGGGGCTCAGCAGTAAAGAATCCACCTGCCAGTGCAGGAGACATGAGTTTGATCCCTGGGTCAGGAAGATCCCCTATGGAAGGAAATGGCAACCCACTCCAGTATTCTTGCATGGAAAATACCATGGACAGAGGAGCCTGGTGGGCTATAGTCCATGAGGTCACAAAGAGTCGGACATGACTTAGACATGACTTAGCCACTGCACAAAGGCAAAAAATAAAGGAGAGCAGGAATGGGGGTGGTGGTGTCATGGCAGGGAGGAGCCTTTAGCCTCACTCTTCACCCATGTCTACCTGACACCTGCTTCTTTCCCTTTCAGAGAGGCGTGAGGATCACAAAAGACCCTTAGCATTTCTCCAGGAGGAAATCTCTTCCGATGAGTGCTGGTCACCACCTCTACCCTGGGACTCTACCTCAAGGACATTTCCCCAGGCATCCTGCCCCTCCTGCTCAGAGGACTTTGGGGATCAAGAACTGTACATTTATGTATCACAGATACCCGGAAGCCCCACATAAAATTGTGCGTGAAAACCACCATCCAAGCAGCACTAGATGAGAGCGGAGCAAAGAGAACCTGGGGTGGGGGCCAGGGGCGGTTGTAACAGACTGAGCACACGTGACTCCATCTGTGCCCCACCAGGATCAGGGCTCTGGCCTCCTCCTCCCCCGCCTCCTGCAATAGCATCATCACTCAGAAAAACCACTCCCTCCAGGGCAGAGCTTTAATTGGAGGATTTTAGTGTATTTACAGAAGTCCACAGCTCCCTTGGGAGGCCCCATTGTTCTGTGCTCACCCCCTGCCTAGGGACAGTTCAGCTGGTCCAGGCAGGGGGACAAGTTTCTATTAGTGTACAGAATGGATGAGTGGATGTGCAGAGTGGATACAAAGATGGCTTATCTACTGCGAAACCGGCTCAGGGACGAACGTAGGATCCCCAAGTTGCCTTGCTGGGTTCTCCAAGTCCAAAAAAACAGGCAATGAGGCAGGGCGCCCCTCATTTTCGCAACCACTGCCATGGGCTCTGGGCACACTCGGCCTCTCTCACGAGTACACACACTCCACATCACACAGACGCACATACAGAGACGCAGACACACGTACTGCACGCAGACACACGCTACACGGAGACACACACATACTACACACAGCTGACAAGCCAGCAGTCCTCAGGCAGCCGAGAAAAGCTATGTACACTGAGGGAGTAGCACCAGGTCAGTGGCTGCCAGATCGTGCCTGCTCCTACAAGACTCTTCCTCTCCAGAAAAAAACCAGGAGGTCCAGAGGGCATCTCGCAGGTCCTTCCGGGCTGCCTGGCGCAGGAAGGAAGCAGCCGTCCGCAGGGCGGGGCGGCCCGCAGTCGGAGGGGCGGGGCCTCACCGGAGAAGGCGGGGCTCGGACGCAAGGCGGGCGGGGCCACCCAGCGCCTCCTCGATGTTTTCCAGGCAGCCCAGCAGGTCCATGTCCCTGAGCACGCGGCCCAGCAGCTCCAGCGTGGCCTCGCGCCGCGGCGTGCGCCGCCGCCAGGCCGCCAGCATGCTGTACTGCGCCTCGCGCAGGTGGCGCCCGTTCTCCATCTCCAGCCGCTCGATCTCGTGCTCGCTCAGTCCCAGCCGCCGCACCAACTCCTTCCAGCGCGACGGTGGCACGCCGTCCACCACCGCGTACAGGGTCGCAGGGTCGGCTGCAGGGAGGCAGTGCGGTGAGCCTGGAGCGGCAGCCCTCCGGCCTAGTCCCCCACCGCGCTCGCGACACAGGGCGCCCCGCCCACCCGCCTCCTCGGCTGGGGTTCCCAGAGAGGATGAATGAGGAACTCACCATCCGCGAGCTGATCGGGGGCACTCGGGGCGCTGGCTTCCCACTTCTGAACTGGGGTGCAGAGGTGGGTGGAGGCCGGAGGCCCCGGGAGAATGGGGCCAGCCTTTAGATGGGGCGGGGCCATTTCGCTGGAGGGAGATGTGACGACTCTGAAGCTGGACCGGTCACAGGGGATGTAAGGGGGAATGGAGACAGGACTGGAACTTGTGGGGTTGAAGCCTGGGGCCGGGGCCAGGAGTTCTGGCTCCCCCTGAGGAAGGGACGGCACAGCATTAGCACAAGAGGAAAAACAGCCTCTTGTGTTTTATGGATTATGGATGGGAGCCGGGCTAGAGGGAATCAGGGGAGACCAAGGGCGAGGGGTTGATTCTGGGTGCTTTGGGTGTTACAAGGTAATAGTGGACAGTCAGGGAAGACTGGGGGTCATTCCCTGGTTTCATCTTACCTCTTTTACCAGAGTCGACTGCCCGCAAACTGAGAAAAAAAGAAACAGAGCGTCACAAATTTCACTTCCTCTCTCAGCCCCAGCGCCCATCGCAGGACTGGTGGTGGGCCCTTGTGGTGACACGCTTCAGGGCCTATGTGACCCCAGGGACGAGAGAATCACTGATGCAGTGCGAGCTCTCACCAGTCATCCTGGACCAGCTCGGGCCAGTGCGGTCCTCAGCAGGGAACTAAGAGGACACCCTTAGTCTCCTTCATGCCTGTGCACCCCACCCTCCCTTATCCCCTTGCCCTCCCAAAGTCCCCACTCACTGATGGAGTAGAGCTTGGGCTTCCACCGCTGGTAGCGACATGCTAAAACGACAGAGGCGAAGGATGCCAGGCAAAGCCCGAAGACAATCACCAGGGGTAATAGTACTGTAGTGCCTGGAGACGGAGCAGAATGTGGTCAGAGGCCTGGGCAGTACGGGATGGATGGGGGCGGGGGCAAGACCAGGAAAGGGCCCCTGGGCTTGGTTGGGCACTAGGATAGTTCTCCTCACCTGGGTCCTGAGAGTCTTTACCAGTTGAAGTTCGGGTTGGACATAATTTCTCACATTCCTTGTTCTTACACCTAAAAGAGACAGTGCTGGTGAGTAGAGGCCCCGCATTAAGAGGAATAAAGGGGGAAAAAAATAGAAAGACCCATACAGATTGTTGGAAATTCTGCCCTTTACAAATATTTAGCTATCTTGCGATAGAATGGAAATTAATCCTATCTTGGCAACTGATGCAGAGGAAGGGAAAAAAAATTAGCTGATCCCAGAATCATTTCGTTTTAGAGCTGGATTTGATCTTGAAGAGACTGTGTAGAGAAGGAGTTAAAAGCAGTCAATGTGTGCGTGCTCAGTCATATCTGACTCTGTGACCTTGTGGACTGTAGCCCGCTAGGCTCCTCTGTCCATGGGATTTCCCAAGCAAGAATACTAGAGTGGATTGCCATTTCCTTCTCTAGGTGATCTTCCTGACCCAGGATTGAATGAGCATCTCCTGTGTCTCCTGCATTGGCAGTGAATTCTTTACCACTGAGCCACCAGTCAGAGTCAGAGTCACTAGACTGGTTGTGTGACTACAGGCACATCACTTCACCTGTAAGCCTCAGTTTTTTCATCAGTAAAACAGGGATCCTACTTGGACTAAGGATTAAGTAAAATAATTATGCCTGACATATAGTAAATACTTGATACATGCTGACTGTCACTGAAATGTTTTTTTTGTTGTTTGTTTTTAAATATTTGGCTGCACTGGGTCTTAGTTGTGGCATGTGGGATCTAAGTTCCACGACCAGGGAACCCAGACTCCCTGCATTGAGAGAGGAGACTCTTAGCCACTGGACCACCAGGGAAGTCCTTTGAATTATTTTATCCTTGTTTTACTGATGAGAATCCAGTGGCAGAGAGATGAAAGAACTTTTTCTCTAGATGACACTGCTGATGACAGCACCTGACTTTGAGAGGGGGTCTAGCACACATGTGAACCATTGAAAAACACATCTTGCTGGGGGAAGCTAGAGACTAGAACAAGCACGTCTTCCCATGTTGGGAGCTGGCACCAGGGAGCACGCAAGGATGAGAACTACATCAGGGGTTCTGGAAGGAACTTGAGGAGGTGAGTTCTCTGCAGGAATCTGCACACAAGGAGAGCTGATTTTGCCCAACTCACAAGCTCACGGGGAAAGGGTGTAAAAGTGATTAAAGAAAAAGAGACTAGTGGGAAAAAGAAACTAATTTCTCATCAGACACTTTGTAGTTATGTTTTGTGGTTTTTACAACTTTGCCAACCTGATGTCATTATCTTTACTTTAAAGGTAAAGAAGAACTAAGGCTCGGAGATGTTAAGTCACTTGCTTAAGCTTGCACAGCCAATATGTGGCTAGCCTGAGGTTTAAACCCAGGGCAGTTCAACTGCAGAGCCCTCAGAGTTTCCTCTTTGGAAGCAAGTGTGCAAAGCAAGGAGTGAGGAGGCGTGGTCAAAGGACCAGGAAGGAAAGACCATGCTGCATCAAGCCTAACAGTCAAAGGCATCATTATTTACATCCTACACACAGCTTCCACCTGTGCCATCAACTCTTGTTAAGATGCAGTCTGATTTCAGAGATGTAAACGTGTATTCCTAGAATCAATAGCAGAGTCTGTCACCCAAGAATCTGAATGTCCTCAGAAAAAGATCTGAATGTCTAAAAGGAACTGCAAGTCCTTTGGGAGTATGAGCCTCTATTCCTCAGACTTCGTAAGATTTCTGAACAAGTTGGGGGCAGGGAAGACTGGCAGGCATCTCGACATGAAGTGTCTCCCATACTAAACAGCCAGTATCATGCTTCCCTTGTGGTCCAGTGGTTAACAATCTTCCTGCCGATGCAGGGGACATGGATTCGATCCCTGGGTCGGGAAGATCCCACATGCCTCAAGGCAGCTATACCTATGCGCTACAATGACTGAGCCCCGGCTCTCAGAGCCGCGACTCTTTAGCCCATGTGCCACAACTTCAGAAGCTCGAGTGCCCTAGAGCCTGTGCTCTGTGACAAGAGAAGCCACCATAATGAGAAGTCCGTGCACCCCAACTAGAGGGTAGGTAGCCCCTGCTCTCCTCAATGAGAGAAAGCCCTGTCGCAGCCAATAAATAAATAAAAATTTACAAAAAAAAAAAAGCATCCCGTAGGAGCAAAAGCACCCCCTAGAACCTCTCCATCCTCCCACCCCAATCCAGTGCCCAGCAGGTGGCGGGAGGACTCACTCATGACAGGAGATGCACTTGGCGCCTTTTAGAAAGAAGCCCATATGGCAGTGGCAGATGGTGTCCTGTCTCTCCTGGCCTGTGGGGAGACAAGCCGCACAGCTGAAAGAGGACGCCCCTCACCCTGAGGGCAAGAGGGAGAGCCGGGAGGGGCAGGGGTGCAGCAAGGCGGAGACCCTTCTCTGGAGATGGAGATGGGGCGAGGAGCAGGGTTGGGAGAGCCATGCTCACAGGGGATGTTCACTGTGCCGTTGGGACAGAGACTGCAGTTCAGACACCGGAAGCCAGTTTCACCCCAGTATTCCCGGTACTGGTTCTTCCTGCAGCCACACACGGTGTCCCGGTCCACTGTACAAGGGGAAAGCTCCACCTGGAACATTTCTGGTGAGGGGAAGAGATGGGGTATGAGCCCCCACGCTCCTCATCTGGTGTGTCTCTCTGTGTAACACACGCTCACAGCCATGCACTCAGTCACTTGTGCACGAGCGTCCCTGCCCACCCCCAGCAGCACACACCTGTCCCATCCCCTAGAGACAGACTGCACACCCCTCCAAACACCCACCTGACCCAGTCTGTTCAGAGCCCCGCGCCCTCCTGAGACTCACCATCCCGGCACCTGGAGCAGCTCAGGCATCGTCTGAGGTGGTTCTCCAAGGCAGTGTAGGTGCCAGAGGCACATACCCTGCAGTCCGTGTCTAGCCCCGGGCCCGGACAGTCATTGTACAGATAGGTACCTGTGATTTGGGGGTTGGAATTAGGCTGCATCCAGGAGCTCAAGGGAGGAGCCCCAGGCCTGGGAGGATGGCGTGGGTACCTCCCCCAAATCCCTAGGAGAGGAAAGGAGGGAGAAAGCCCCAGACCAGGAAAGGCAACCAAGCCAGGTTCTAAAACATCTGGAAAATGCAAAGGAAGAAGCAGGACCTCCTGACTGAGGAGTTCCACGGGGATCTCTTTCTCCTACCTTTGTGGCACTTGGTGCAGCAAATGGTGCTATTTTGAGGGTGGTTATATTTTCCTTGGGGACAGGAACTCTCTTTCTTCTCCAGGTCCCCAGGTTGAGGGACCAGCCCATGAACCCTTGCGGGGTACACATCTGCCAACAAAGCCGGAAGCACCTGGGGAGGAGTCAGATGGAGAAGGACCTTCAGGAGAGGGAGGATGGGGATCATAGAGGTAGCAAGTCTAAAGCCTTCCCAGCCTTCTCAAGTCTTCTCCCCAGGACACCCCCATCCACACTCTGCCTGGGCTGTCGGCACTGAGCATCACCATTGTTCTCTCGTTTTCCCATCCTTTTCCCTCCAACTCAAGGCTGGAAGATCCCAGGTGAGGCTTGTACTTTATCCTTGTTACCCCAAACCAGCCCTCAGGACTGGACCAAGGCAGGTGTTCGGTTGGAGGGTTGAGAACAGGCCTTTCTTTCCTTCCAGCAGCCCTAAAGGTTGAGGTGGCGTTTCTCCATCTGGGTGCTGTGCTCACAGTATATTCACTTTGTGAACATTCACAGAGGCAAACCTTTAGGGTCGTGCCCTGTCCTGTATTACATTGTCGTATCCGACTCTTTGTGACCCCATGGACTGTAGCCCACCAGGCTCCTCTGTCCTTGGGATTCTCCAGGCAAGAATACTGGAGTGGGTTGCCATTTCCTCCTGCAGGGGATCTTCCCAACCCAGGGATCGAACCCAAGTCTTCTATGTCTACTGCACTGGCAGGCAGATTCTTTACCGCTGAGCCACCAGAAAGCCTTGTTAAACTTTGAGAACTACAGGCAAATCAGAGCCCAGAGACCGCAGCCAGGACAGGAGGGCTTGGCAGCGCAGAGCAGGTAAGCTGTAAGCAGGTCACCCCCAAGTCCCCCTCTGGGTGTCGCTGCAGCAGTCAGAAGCCTCAGCCCCAGCCCCAGCCCCAGCACGAGCCAGAGGAAGCCACACTCAGAAACCCAGCCGCAACCCTCTAGGGCGCCTCCCCTACCCAGAGGCAGCACCCTTCCCTAGCCACCCCAGCCCCGTGCCACAGCTCCTGACAACAGGCCTGGGGCTTCCAGGGCAACAGGAAGAGTTTGGGGATGTTTATGGGAAGGGCTTCCCAATCCTGTCCGTGCAGTTCCTTTCCCGAAGGAGGGCTCAGAGCACCTAAGGTCAGGGGACTTTGGAATTACATCCAGGCGGCTGGAAGCAGAGCCAACCTGCAGAGACAGTGTCAGGAAAACGAATGGAGGCGGAAGGTGGGGCTGGGGGTCCAGTTCTGAGCCAGGGTTGGAGGGGGTGGTCGGGTGCAGCTTTCCAGGGACTGCGGGTTGGTGAGGAATCAGCTTCCCAAGAAGGAGGGAGAGAGGCTTTCTCAGACCACAGGCTTCCTGCCACAATCCCCAGCACTTTGGGGGTTAACTCAGATCCGGGAAAGGGAAATCTTTTCCCAGCAGCTCCGCCCAGTGACTCAGGCCAGAGGGAGGGAGGGAATCCAGGGGAGGGCAGAGGACCCGTCGCTTCCCCGGCTCCTCACGGGTCATGAGTCAGCTGAAAGGCTGATGGGATCAGGACCCCGCACGCAATCTGGATCCCATCTGATTCCCTCCGCCTGGGGGCCAGGCTCTATCCCCACGCAGCAACCCCCTTCCTCCCCTCCTCCTCCTCCAAACAGCCAGGCCATGGGTCTCTGTCCTTCTTGGCCCACTTTTTCGGGAAATGGCTCCCTATCCCATTCCATCCAAAGGGAAGTCTCCGGTGACCTCAGGCTTCCCCCTCTCAGGTCACTACCCGCCCCTCCCCCTCCCGGAGGGCCACTCAGCTCCTTCCCACCCCTCAGCATCCTTCCTTTAGACTCAGCCTCACCCAGACCCCTCCTCCTCCCAGCTCTGCCAGTCCCCCGACGCCGAGGGCCCCCTGACCCACCCTAGCTCCAGAAGGGAGCGAACCAAGGCTGCCCTCCCAGTTGAGTTCACTGCTTTCCCACAGCTCAACTTGTTCTGGCCAGCTGGGTTGGGCTTGGGGACCTCCCTGGGGTCCTCAAATAATCCTTAGGAAACAAGGCCAGTTCTGAGGTTCCTCAGCCCCTCCCGCAAGCCCACAGGCTGCACAGGAAAGACTCCAGAGCTTTGAACGCCCAGTTCCATGAGGGAGGGAGCAAGCAAACAGGGATGGAAGGCAACCAGCATCATATCCGGGGTGGGGCGGTAGTGGGGGGCAGTCCCCACATGCACCCCAGGCCAGCCCACTTGGATCCTAGGGGCCAGGGCCTCAGGTCCCCCCACTAGTGGGCGCCATCCCTCGGCACCGAGCGCAGCTTCAGCCATTGCATCTTGCAGTGTGTGTTGTGCTAAGTTGCTTCAGCCTATCTGACTCTTTGAGACCCTATGAACGGTAGCTCGCCAGGCTCCTCTATCCATGGGATTCTCCAGGCAAGAATACTGGAGTGGGTTGCCACGCCCTCCTGCAGGGGACCGTCCGGACCCAAGGATCAAAACCCGCGTTTCTTATGTCTCCTGCATTGGCAGGTTGCAGTAAAACAGTAGAAACAGAGGGTGAACTTTGAGCGCCCAGACCCCAGTCAACCTGGGGCAAAGGCAGGAAGCTGGGGTGCCTTTGGAGAGACAGTTGAGGAGGTGGCCCAGCACCCCTCCAACTCCCCCACAACTTCCGCCTAGGGAGGCTTTTAAGTGCGACTTCCTGTGCTGGCGCTGCAGCATGGGGGTGGAAGAGCTGACAGCAGCCCCTGTGGTCTCGCTCTGACCAGCCGCCTCGCTGTCCCGTACCCCATTCACTTCTTCATTAAAGTGCGTTTTGTTCATTTGATGTCAAAATCTTTGGAGAGCTTAAGACAGTTTCTCCTCCAAGGCTCTGCTGAGGCCTGGCCTCCCTCCCCTGAAGCCCCCCATCAGTAAAGGCTTCCCCCCTTCCAGCTCATCCCATGCAAACCCCACCCCGTGAACTGTAAAAACATGAATTTATTATATCTATTTTGGGCTCTTACCATAACATAACAGCTTTGGGTGACTAGATAATAATCTCCCCAAGTAGACCATAAACTATGCGATGAGAGATCTGAAAGTGTTTTGGTCAGAGATACTGTCTAATCCCTGCACACAGAACTGTAGAGGCAAAATAAATGTGGTTTGACTGAATGATTTTATGACTATCTCTCTTCCACTCCAATAAAAGCCAGTGATAACCATAGTGGGAAGATGGGAGTCAGTGCTGGACTGTAGGAATACATTTATCTCCAGGGGAAAACTCCTCCCTCCTTCCCACACACTCGCACACCCACTTGCACAATCTCACAGGAGATGCTGGCAAGCCTTCCTCTCCTTTGGAGCATCCCTGGTGAGTGAAGGCAGCGCTTACAGATAAGAGTCAGAACATTCCTGCCTGAACACAAGGCAGATAAGAGTCTGAGAACCTCTGCTTGAGCCTGTCAGATACGCACTTCACTTGGTGAATTCCCAGACCCTCTACATGCCCCCAAACAAAACCCATCAACCTCCTGATCTAGACAGATATCACAACATCAACTTGTCTTGGCCACCCTTCTCTCCTCCGGGTCCCCATCCCTCCCATGCCGCAATCCAGGTCTGTAGTCCATCTTGCCAGACCTCCTCCGTCATCTCTCAGTCGTTTCCATGGGTTGCCTCACTCCCGATCATTGCCACTGTCTCCTTGCCTATTCCCTGCTCCAGTCCAGCCTACACCCTTGCTTATCTGCATTCAAGCTTCAACTTGCACCCACAGGTGTAGGAATCTTTCTCGCCTGACCCTGAACATCATTTCCATAGGTCACTCCTTCCTTCCCTGAATGAGAACTTGAAGAGGTACCTACTACTATTCTGGATTCATTCCTGGACACAGCGAACCTGAGAGAATCATTTATGAAGAAATGAATGAATGAATGGAATTCCTCTACCCAGGATCACAATCAAGGTTCTCTCTCTGTCCCTTCCCCTACTTCCTTCAAGTTTCTCTTTCTCACTTTTTCTTTTTTTTTAATATTTATTTTTATTTATTTATTTGGCTGCACAGGGTCTTAGTTGTGGCATGTGGGATACAGTTCCCCAACCAGGGATCAAACCCAGGGCCCCAGCATTGAGAGCTCAAAGAGTCTTAGCCGCTGGACCACCAGGGGAGCCCCTCTCACTTTTTTTGTTCCTCAACAGAGTCTTACCCCTACAGTCAAGACACTGAGCTTCTTGCCACCTCCAGCCTCCAACACACAACCCCATTGTTCTGTCCCTCCTGCCGTGCATGCTAAGTCGCTTCAGTTGTGTCTGACTCTTTGCGACCCCATGGACTGGAGCCTGCCAGGCTCCTCTGTCCATGGGATTTTCCAGGCAAGAATACTGGAGCAGGTTGCCATTTCCTCCTCCTCCAGGAGCTCTCCCAACCTAGGGAACAAGCCTGTGTCTTGCGTCTTTTTTCAGCCTCCTGCTTGTCTGTGACTTCAAATCTCAGCTCCAAAACCCCATTTCCAGGAGGCACTCCCTCCCTCATTCCATCCTTTATTCATTCAACAAACCAAGGAGGAGCACCTTTGAGGTGTAGGTCCCATAGGACCGCCAGGGAAGATAAGATGCAGACACAAAAGACTTCTTAGTTAGGTCAGAGATGGGCAACTGGGGAGGGAGTTGGGCACTGATCCACAGACAGGACAGCACTCACCCCACTCCTGGTTCTGCCTCCCATCGGTGTTCCAGGGCACCGCATCACGCTTTTGTGGGCATTTTCCCCGAGATCTCTAAAACCATTATTTTTCTGTAAGCTGTCTTGGCTACAAGACTGTAAGCTCTTTGGGAGCAGCAAGATCTTGTGTGCTTTGTCAGTGTCTCCTGCATTCTTCCCACCTCCACCACCCTCTGCCCCCTTACACACACCGTATTGCCTGCACTGCTCATTGACTGGCCCAGGGACAGCCTTACCCAGCACCGCACACCTCCTGTGTCCCCTCCAGTTCCAGGCTGAGCTTGTTCCCTTAGCTGTCACACCCCAACCTGGACTGGATCAGCTGCAACCCCAGGCACCTGACACCTTTCTTTATCTATCCAAGCTCCTTGCACCTCTGTTTTCCAAATGCAGAAGCCACTGAGCAATAACCACCACTACTGGCTTCCCTGGTGACTCAGTAAAGAACCTGCATGCAGTGCAGGGTTCCATCCCTGGATCACAAAGATCCCCTGGAGAAGGCAATGGCTACCCACTTCAGGATTCTTGCCTGGGAAATTCCATGGACAGAGAAGCCTGGCGGGCTACAGTCCATGGGGTCACAAAGAGCTGGATATGACTAAGCAATACACACACACACACACACACACACACACACACACACACTTCTACTAGTACCAGTAGAAAAGCTCTCATTAGTACTGAGTGCTTTCCATTTGCCATACCCTGATCCTCCACTAGATCAGAGATCCCATGAAGACAAAGACCATGTTCACTGCCAGCACCTCAAACAGTTACCCAGCACCAAGCAGGCACAAAGGAATGAAATACCTGATATATATCCATCTATGTCACCTTTGAAATGACACTATGCAGCAGAAACTAAGACAAACTGTAAAGCCATTATACCCCAATGATAAAATTAAATTAAATACAAAACAAACCAAAACAACGACATTATGAGGTGATGACTATTCTGTCCTTCTTAGAAATAAAGAAGCAAGCCGTGGAGGGTTACACAACCCGTTCAAGTCCAGACAGCTAGTACCTGAGGGAGACAGGACTGGATTGGGTGGTTTGCCCCAGGAGAGAAGAGGAGTCAGGGAGAGGGAAAAGGGGGGAGCCTGTGAGGACAGCCTGGAAAGAAGGGAAAGGTGGGCTTGGGGGTGTGGAAGAATGGACGAAGGAGATCAAGAGGGAGGAGGGGTGCTTCGTGAGGAACTAGTGTCTAGAAAGGTGGACTAGAGCAGAGAAGAGAGAGGAACCGGAGAGAAAGGTTCAAAAAGGAGACTCTGAGAAGTCTGGACTTGTGGGGAGACTTGACAGAAAAGAAGGAATGATTAGGGCACACAACAGGAGACCCCGGGGGAAGGAGGGTGGGGCGGAGGAGAGGTTGGGGGAGTCAAGGTGAGGAGTGGCGACTGGGCAGAGGAAGAGTGAACCAGAAGAAAGTGGCCAACGCAGTCCCCCGAACTAGGTAGAGGGGCTGGGTCTCCACCCCCGGACCACTGCGGAGGGGTCAAGGATACACTCAAAGAAGGCTGAGGCAAGAGAAAGGGACATTTTCCAGTGACGAAAACAAGTGTCTACCAACTTCCCCAAACTGAGCTGTGGAAGAAGAAAGCAAGCGATCTGTTGTTGGGGTCGGGGGAGGGGGCCAGGGGACGGCTGCCGGGCTCTACGGCCTCCTCCTCCGAGGGTCCATCCGACAGACAGAGGCCACAGACCAAGGTGAAGAGTGCCCCCCAGGGGGCCGGGAGGCCTGGGCCTGGGGAGGCCGCGGGATCTCCTGCCCCTATGTGCTTACCCACTCCCTTCCCAAATGCCCCCAACACAGCATCCCAAGCCCACCACCCCCAGGCCACCACATCCCAGTCCACCTCCTGGACTCAGTTTCCCCACTTCACGAGCGGCGTCCAGCCCCTGCTTTCCACTCTCAGACCGGCGCCCAGGCAGCCTCGCCTCTCCACGGCCCAACACGACGACATGCCGGGCAGAACCATCCGGACTCTGAGAGGACCCACCTTCTTTCTCTCATTCCTTTCGATTTCCTAACAAACTGCCCCTCCTTACCCTGTGGGCACCTGCCGCCACATTCCCAGCCTGCCCAGGCCTGGGGCCGCTTTCCCTCCTGGCCTTTCAAACTTGTCCCCGGCTCCGGGCCGCAGGTGAATGGGGCAGTGTGTGCCGGCAGGCCCGCGCAGGCCTGGGGCTGGGCCCGGCCCTCCGCTCTCTCCAGCCCCAGGCCCCCCTCTCCCGCCTGCCCACCCTGCCCTCGGCCCCCTCCCTGTCTCACCAGTGGCAGCAGCAGGCCAGGCACGGTGGGGAGGCCCATGTCCGGCCAGCTGTGGCCTCTCAATCCCCCATCAGGGCTGGGGCAGTGGCAGCCCGCGACAGTGGCAGCGACACAGTCCTTGCGTCTCCCCAGCGGAGCCTGGGCCTCGGGTCGGGGAGTGGAGGGTTGAGACTTGGGCGGGGACACAGCCCAGTCCGGAGGACTTCAAACCCGGAAGGCGGCCCGGAGCCGGGAGAACTCCGAGAAAACTTGAGCTGAGAAGAGGTGGGAGGGGAAGGGAGAGAGGCAGATGGGGTATTGCAACTTCAGGACAGGAAGAGCCTGGGGTGGAGGCGGGAGGAGGCGGGAGGAAGGGGGTGGGGGGACAAGGTCCCTTAACCCTTTATAGTCAGACAGAGGCAGGGCTCCGGGATCCAGAAGCCACGCGCCCGGGTCTAACCACGCCCTCTCCCGCAAACACCCAGGTGCACCCCTCCCGGCCCTCCGCCTCCTCTGCCACAACACCTGGCCTGTCCCAAGTGAACAAGAGAAAGACAGGGCTTTCGAGTCAGATTCGCTGGGTTCCAGCTCAGAACTCTCTGCTTTTTTAGCTGGGTGGTCTGCTGTGTTCCGGTCTGCCTAATGAAGAGACCTTCTCTCATGCTGTCACAGTCAGGTAAGTGAAGCCAGACGCGATCCCAGTCCTCAGGGCTCTTCCCCTTTTCCCAGGGTTCTCCAATGACATCCTCCTGTCTCACTTTCTTGGGAATGTACACCTGCAATCCAAACCTCAGAGTAAAGCTTAACCCTGACTGGAGGTCCTGACCTGCCCCACTTCCCACACCACCAGGCCTCATCCGATCTGTGCCGGGCGGGACCCCCAACTGCTGATTCTGACTGAACCTCACGGAAGACCTCGGTCATGAAATGAGAGCCACAGTGCCTGGCCCAGCTTCCATGGGGAAGGTGACATCATGAGGCCTAGTGGAATTACAGCTCACTCCATCAGGTATTGCTAGAACGTTCCCAGTGCCCTTTTCCCAAATATTCCAATACATCGATCCAAACCACCCTCAAAGATAATCTACTACAGGACCCCTTCCTTGTTGCTGCTGTTTTTTAAATTGACTTTTAATTGAAGGACAATTGCTTTCAAATATTGTGTTGGTTTCTGCCATACATCAATATGCATCATCCATAAATATGCATATGTCCCCTCCCTCTTGAACCTCCCTCCCACCTCCCACCCCTTTAGGTTGTTACAGAGCCCTGGTTTGAGTTCCCTGAGTCATACAGCAAATTCCCACTGGCGGTCTATTTTACATATGGCAGTGTGTATATTTCCATGCTTTGAGGCCCAGAGACATGCAGGTCATGTGCCCTGCTGGGCCAGCCCAGCCCGCAGACTCCTGACCTCAGACCAAGGGCTATGTTTTGTTGCAATAATCGTCACTTTTCTATCAATCCTTTTGAGTCAGTCAGACCCCACCCTCGACTCTTAGGATGTATTATGCCACGCCCATCTGTGCATGACGTCTCCCAGATGAATCCCATAACGGAGTACAACATTAACCCAAATGTTCTCTGGATGCGATGAGCATCCCCAAGACCCAGTCCAGGCCCCCGGTTCTCCAGCTGCTGAGACTACTAGAAATACAGGGAGACCAGACCGGAGTAAGGAGGGCCTAGGGTTTTGTGACTTGGCATCAGAGCTCCTCATTCATTGATCTCTTGATCCACCAGCTAACCCTCAGCCCTGGAATCCACCCTCTCTGGACCTTCCTGTCCTCCCCTCCGTGATCCCAGGTAGGTGTCAATGGAACCTGATGCCTGTACTTCTGGCTGACTTCACTCTTCCCCATCCTCCAGCTTCTGAGATACTAGAGGATTAAAGCTGGACCCACAGAGGGTGAGGATCACCTCTACCATCACCCAGGGAGGCTCCAAGTGCAGCATGAGTGGATCCAAAGCAGACCTCTTAAAGAAGCCGAGTCACTGAAATACGTCGCAAGAGTCAAATTGCCCAGTTTCCAGTGTGAAGACGCTAAGAGAGCCACAGGTTCCTCCTGTTAAAAATGGGAAGCTTGCTGGTACCCCTCACACTACATGCATGGATGATAAATGACGTAAAGTGTTTAGCAAGGGTTTGACATATACTAAGCATTCAATCAGTGGTTGTTGTCATTGTTCAGTTGCTAAGTCATGTCTTACTCTGTAACCCCATGAGCTGCAGTGCGCCAGGCTTCCTGTCCTTCACCATCTCCTGGAGTTTGCTCAAACTCATGTCCATTGAGTTGGTGATGCCATCCAATCATCACATTCTCTGTCACCCCCTTCTCCTCCTGCTCTCAATCTTTCCCAGCATCCAAAGTATTGGAGCTTCAGCTTCAGCATCAGTACTTCCAGTGAATATTCAGAGTTGATTTCCTTTAGGATCAGTCAGTGGTAGCAATGTGTTTTATTTCTTTATTTGGCTATGGCTTTCAGCATGTAGGATCCTAGTTCCCTGACCAGGGGTTGAACCCACACTCCTGCTTTGAAAGCACAGAGCCTTAACCACTGGACAGCTTGGGAATTCCCCAGTGGTATTAATGTTAATATTTTGTATTAACACTAACAACTTCAATGTCCTGTGCTTTTTTTTTTTCTTTTCTTCTTTTAAATTTTTATTGAAATACGGTTGATTTGCATTGTTGTGTTAGTTTCAGGTGTCAGTGTCCTATTTTTAATGTTCCAAGAAGTTTTTGATAATCTGTTCCAACTGCCAATGCCATTGCACATAGCCCAGCACAAAAGGAGAATCTCTTTCATTGTTTAGGATGAATGCCTACTTGCTCAGCAAGCTTAAAGCCTTGAGAAACATGATATTCAACTGTTCAATAAAACTCTGTTTAAAACAGATTGTGAGAGGTGGGTGGACCTAGGACTATGAACAGCTAAGTAGTCTTGTGGAAGAGGTGAAAGCACAAAAATAAGCCCTCCCGGGAAGAAGGAATCACGGTAAGGGAGAGACAGAGAAACCCAAGAGGGGCAGGGGACTTCTCTGGGGTCCAGTGATTAAGAATCTGCCTTCCAATGCAGGGGACATGGGTTTGACCCCTGGTCGGGGAACTAAGATCCCATAGGCCACGGGACAACTAAGCCCTTGTACTGCAGTTACTGAGCCCTCACACCTCAACTAGAGAGCCTGTGTGCCGCAACTAAGACCCCACGCAACCAAAACTACATAAATAAATTTTTTTTTTTTTAAAGAAGAAGAGGGGGCAACCTGGGATTGGCTATTAGGGCTTGTGGAGCAAAGGCTGAAGGGAAAGGAGCTTCAGATAACAGAGCCCCCTCTCTCCATCACGTGTCACACACCCCGCAGTTGCACAGAGTCATCGAAAGGACACTGGACTCCCAGTCTCGGTGACGTGGGTCCCAGCCCCAGCCCAGTCATTCCAACCCCATGTGTCACAGGGAGACCTGGTTTCCCAGCTGGCTCTGTACAAATCATGAACTTGGGCAAGTCACTTCACCTGATAAGCTCCATAGGAACATGAGACAGCGTGAACTCTGTCTCCTCTACCCATCTGATCAACCTGAGACAGAGAAGGGGGAAACAGACAGCACCCCGCTCCTGCATGTGGTCCTTCTTACAATGCACATGTGCTGATCACTACCCATTTCAATGAACACTAGAGAGACTTCCCTGGTGGTTCAGTGGTTAAGACTCTGCACTCCCAACGCAGGAGGCATGGGGTTCGATCCCTGGTTGGGGAACCAAGATCCCGCATGCCACACACGGCAGCCAAAAAATAAAAAATAGACACTCTAGAAAAATACAGGCCACATGTGACGGGTACCTGCCCTAGTCCCCTCCCACATTTGCATGTTAAATCGCTTCAGTCATGTCAGATTCTTTTCAACCCTATGGACTGTAGCCCACCAAGCTTCTCTGTCCATGGGATTCTCCAGGCAAGAATACTGGAGTGAGTTGCCATTTCCTCCTCCTGGAGATCTTCCCAACCCAGGGATCAAACCCGAGTCTCTTGTGTCTCCTGCATTGGTAGGTGGGTTCTGTACCACTAGCGCCACCTGGGAAGCCCCCATAATTGGCATCTGTTTGCTTTTAAAATCCACTTTATCTTGAATCGCGTCAGATGAATACATTAACATCAGTTTTTATTGAATTTGCGATGCTTTGAATAATGGTCAGGATGTGCATGTGTGTGGGGGGAGGGGATGTCAGTGAAGAAAGAAACAAACTATTTTTAAAGCTAAAAAAATAATGATGTAAAGTAATTAGCCTCCAACTAATAAAAATTTTAAAAAAAAGAAATAATAAAAAAAGGCTCATATTAAAAAAAAAAAAGCTAAAAAAAAAAAAAACTTAGGGACTCTCTGGTGGTCCAGGGGCTGGGACTCCATGCTTCCAATGCGGGGGGCCCGGGTTCGATCCCTGGTCAGGGTACTAGATCCCACATGCCACAACTAAGACCTGGTGCAGCCACATAAATTAAATAAATAAAAAGAATTTTAAAAAAACAAAAACTTAGTGTGCAGGAGCAACACACCGATGGAAGGGAGACCTCAAGATGGACCTGCTTTTTGGCAGGAGAAACTCCAGCGAGGGCTGGGGGAGGCAGGGGAAGGATGGGGAGTAGGGGCTGCCTTGTCATCCTTAATAGCTCCAGCTTTGTCCGACAGGCCCCGCCCACCCAGTCAAGAGAGACGGAGCCAGGGCAGGCTGGGGCCAAAGCACACAGGAGCAGGCTGAACCTGAAGGTTCAGAGAGGAAACTGTTGTGACACCAGCACTTTCCCCTCATCGCTGTGAGTCTAGGAAAGGGAAGTCCAGAGTCATCGCATCATTTCCTCCTCACGACCTTTACCTTCCCCCGCCCTTTGCCATCTCCCCCTCTTTCCCAAGATTCATGTGGCTCCTCAGGTCAAGTTCACAAGGGTTCAGGGGGGCGGTGAGGGGAGCCAGATCAAGGCATCAGGATTCAGTCCTAAGGAGGGTGAGGAAGGGTGATGCCTGACTCCCAGGGCTGATGCTGGTGTTGGGGGAGGAGCCGGGGGTCTGAAGACCTGGGTTCCACTCCGACATCCCTCAGCATGGGGGAAGGAGTCGGGGGTCTGGAAACCGCGGTTCCACTCGACATCCCTCAGCGTCTCCTTTGTTAAAATAAAAGCTGGGAAGATGCCCGCTGCTGCTTTCTCTGTGAGGATGAGAATACACAGGCTTCGAGGCTCCTCAGGAAGCCGGGCTGAGTCCCATCCTCTTCCACCAGCACTGAGCAGCTGATGGAGAGGTGGGCGGGTGAGGGTGCTGCAGCTGGATGGTGAGTGGTGCTCAGCAGGAGAGAAGGATTACAGATGGTGGCGACCAAGGTCGGGGAGGAAAGGGGTCCAGGCCGTGGACAGGGACACGTACCCCAAGCATTACACAGCAAGTCTCCTGGTGGAGGGCACCTGTCTTCACCTCCCACCTGAACATGGTGATGGGCACAGAGCAGATGCTCAGCAATGCCCGTGGAAGAACTAGCAAGACGGTTTGTCTCTCCCAAGGCCCCTAAAGGACGGTCATTCCCATCGTGCAGCCAGGGGAATGGGAGACTGTCCTGTGCCCCCTCCCCAACCCAGGACTGTGCTTGGGCAGCAACCCAGGACTTGCGCCCACTCCCTGGCCCCCTCATGTTGCCATCCAGCTGTCCAGACATTCTCTTAGACCACACCCCACGCCACAGGGGAAAATCAGAGCCCCCACACACACAAGTCCCTCCAGACATTCTTTATGCAACATTTATTAAGTACCTGCCTACTTGCTCCAAGTGGGACACTGGGCTAGACTGTGAGGATACATGAGTGAACAAGACTCAATCCCTAACCACTGTGAGCTCAGTCATGCTGGGGACACAGACACAAATGAACAGGAAAATTAAATGCAGCGTCAGCACTTCCACAGATGTGATGGTGTATGATGGGAGTCCACGGGAGAGGGAAGTGGTAAGATCTGGGGAAGACAGGGTGGGGAAGAAGCCTTCACAGAAGTAATGGTATCCGAGCAGGGTTCTCAGGGATGCATAGGAGTTCTCCAGCAGACGCGGGGGGTGCGGGGGAGGCTTCCAGACTAAGGAAATAGCTTGAGCAAATACGCAGAGTTACAAAGGACGAGGACTCAGGGCAGAGGCACTGGGCGAGGCTCCGTGGGGGGGATGGGGTAGTGAGGCTGACTGGGAATCCAGGTCTTCACTACACTGGGCTGCCCCAGTCCCTGCCCTAGGAGTCAGGCAAACAGAATTGCCTAGCAACTAACCGAGGGGGCTTTTGGGGTGGGGTTCCCCACCCCCGTTCAAGAAGAGGAGCAAACGCCTGTGTCACTGGAAGGCAGTGTGGAGGGCCATTCTGGAGCCGAATCAACCATCTTTAGGAAGGAAACCACACACGCCTTTGTATGCCCTTGTCTGTTTTGTTCTGGTCGTCCGTTGTTTCCTAGGAAAGTTGTTTGTCAGAGATCCAAGTTTGGCTTGGCTGATCCAAGGGAAAAGAGGACTTGGCTGCACTGGGGTGGGGGAGAGCAAAGTGTTCTCGAGGCAAGACCAGCGGGTCCGGGGAGGAACCAGGGTGATGCTGGCTGGGGGTCTCCAGGCAATTTCCACAGCCCCCTATCCATCCTGCTTCACACACACACACACACACACACACCCCGGCCCACCACCCACGCACACACCGGGGTAGCTGGGCAGCTCTGAGAGGAAGCCGCCAAACATTTTTGAGCCTTGCCAAGGCTGGATCCCTCCCACCAAGGGAAGTGCCTGCCTTGGGGAGGGGACACTGTCCTTCCCTCTCAGGGCTCTCCCGGAGCGTGGGCAGAGGTGCTGGCCTCTGCCAAGCCTGATGGAGCCGGGTGGGGACCCAGGGTAGCGTAGGCAGGTGGAGGGGCTGACAAGGCCGGGGAGATGGCAGGGTCCGGCAGGGATGAAGAGGAGGAAGCCGGGTGGGGGCAGAAACTGGAGGGGAGGGAGGCGGCTGGAGTGGAGGCCACCTCCTGGGTGCCCCTGCCCCCTCGGCCTGGGGACCAGTATCGACTTCGGAACCTCCGGAGCAGCATGAGGAAGGTGATAACCAGGAGATCAAAGATGAGCTCAGCCATCTCCACCACGGACAGCACGGAGGAGCCGAACCACAGGCTCCACTGGCTGCCCAGGTTGGACAGGAGGGTGACCATCTGTGAGGGCAAGAGGCACGCTGAGCACTTGGCAGGGAGCCCATCCTCCACTCCACTCGGCCTCTCCTGGCCACAGGGCCCCTGGCCTCTGCTCCCCTCCTCTGGGAGCACAGGACTGCTGGCTGGTTTCTTCCAGGGAAAACCAAGAATGAGGCCACTGTGGGGATGGCTAACACCCAGGCCTGTCTCGAGAGGCTTCTCCCCATCATCCATCACTACCCCGCCCCGAGACTTCACCCCAGCGAGCATCCTTCCACCCTTCTAGAGCTCGCCCTCTCCCCTTGGTCCCCCAGCTTTGAGGCCCAAACCCTCAGGCCCCACAGAGGTAATCTCCTGTGTTCATGGACAGGCCCCTGACTAAGACCCCCCGCCCCCAGAGAATCCCAGGTTCAGTGGGGCAGGACGCACCGTGACTGAGGGAGACTCAGAATTAGATTTGTAGTTCAGCTCCTTGAAGAAGATGTTGAGTTTGGCAACTCCATCCCTTTGGAGTAGGGGAAAGGGTGGGAAGAGACAGCCCAGGGTTAATTTCTCTGCTGCTCAAAAACACTCTCCTCCAATCAGCTGTACCCATCCTTCTTCCTGGGTCTGCTTTCTCTCCCACAGATTCCTTTCCCCAGGCTGGGACCCAGGGAAAGGAATTACTGTCACTGTTTAGTCACTCAGCCATGTCCGACTCTTTGGGGACTCCATGAACTGGAGCCTGCCGGGCTCCTCTTTCCAAGGAATACTCCAGGCAAGAATATTGGAAGGGGTTGCCATTTCCTTCTCCAGGGGATCTTCCCATCCCAGGGATCAAACCTGAGACTCCTGCATTAGTGGGCAGGGAAGCCTGGGACCAGGGTAGAACTGACCGTTTGTTCTTGATGGTGTAGTTGTTCTGTCGGGACAGCATCTGGAAGACCCAGTCCTGGGAGGGGATGAAGTGTCAGTGGGGTCACCCCCATACTCTTCAGGCTTACAGAGCTGGGGGTGGGGTCAAACACACTCATACACATATGCCCAGAGAAGACCGCAGTGCTACACACACATACACTACCTGGGATGTCACGGAGGGCCATTGTGAGTAACTGGCAGAGAGCTTGTAGATGGTCACACTGGGGATGGAGAAGGTGCTCAGTGAAGGGGGTAGGGGTGGGGCTCTCCCACTCAAAGTTGGACCCAGGATCCTCTGTGGTACCCAGACAACCAACCTGGGCTCCAGGAGGGGATGCTCACCTGCATGGCTTCCGGCACTTGGTGAAACAGCCCAGACGGTCTGAGGAAAAGGCATCCTGGAGCTTATAGTAGCAGTAACCTGCAGGTGCAGAGAGGTGCTCATTTTCCTAGACCCCCTCCACCTTCTTCACCCACACCCTGCAGGTCTCCCAAGACCCCCGGCACCCACCGCACAAGCGTATCATGGAGCAAAACAGGAAGGGCTCCCGAGTGACAGCACCAGAGCACGTGGAAGAAATGAAGCCAAGTCCAGCAAAAAATAAAAACAGGCTACACCCTTGTTAAAGTGAGAGTGTTAGTCGCTCAGTCGTGGGTCCAACTCTCGGCCACCCCCATGGACTATAGCCACCCAGGCTTCCCTGCCAATGGGATTCTGTAGGGAATCTTCCCAATCCAGGGATTGAACATGGGTCTCCCACATTGCAGGCAAATTCTGGATACAGACAGATGTTGAAAAGTGAAAAAGAAAAGTGGGAGCAATTTTTGTATAAGAATAATGAAATTAAACCACAAGGAGATACCACTTCACACCCACTAAGATGGCTATTGGAGATGAAATGGCAACCCACTGCTGTGTTCCTGCCTGGGAAATTCCATGGACAGAAGAGCCTGGAGGGCTATAGTCCATGGGATCGTGAAGAGCTGGACACAACTTAGTGACTAAACCACCACCACCAAGATGGCTATAATGAAAAAGGACAATGACAAGTGTCAATGAGGACATTAAGAAATTGTAACTCATCACTGCTGGCAATATAAATTGGTGCCACTGTTGTGGAAAACGGTCTGGCAGTTCCTCAAAAGGTTAAACATAAAAAACCATACTACATGCACGTGTGCTCAGTTGCTCAGTCGGGTCTGACTCTAGCCTACCAGGCTCCTCTGTCCATTGGATTTCCCAGGCAAGAATACTGGAGTGGGTTGTCATGCCCTTCTCCAGGAGATCTTCCCAACCTGGGGATCAAACTCACGTGCCCTTCATCTCCTGCATTGCCCATAGATCCTTTATGCACTGACCCATTGGAGAAACCCTAAACCTACCAAATGACCCAGCAATTCCACACCCTGGAGAACTGAAAACACTGACCACAAAAAAACTTGTACACAAATGTTCACAGCAGCATTGTTCCCAACAGCTAAAAAAGGGTAAAAACCCAAATGTCCATTAATTGATAAATGGATAAACAAGATGAGGTTTATCCACACAATGAATATTATTCAGCCATAAAAGGGAATGAAGTACTGATATATGCTGCCAGGTGGAAAGTGAAAGTGAAAATCACTCNTGGCCTGGAGAATTCCATAGACTGTGAAGTCCATGGGGGTCACAAAGAGTTGGACACAACTGAGAGGCTTTCACTTTTAAGGACTTTCCTGATGGCTCAGTTGGTAAAGAATCCGCCTGCAATGCAGGAGACCCCAGTTTGATTCCTGGTTTGGGAAGATCCGCTGGAGAAGGGATAGGCTACCCACTCCAGTATTCTTGGGCTTCCTTTGTGGCTCAGCTGGTAAAGAATCCACCTGCAATACAGAAGACCTGGGTTCGATCCCTGGGTTAGGAAGATTCCCTGGAGAAGGGAACAGCTAGGCTACCCACTCCAGTATTCTGGCGTGGAGAATTCCACAGACTATACAGTCCATAGGGTCACAAAGAGTGAGCAATTTTCACTTTCACTGGGACCATGGATTCCCCTTCACCCCTATTTCCCAGGTTCTAAGTAAGGTTTTTTTGTTACTCTTGATACTTTCAGTCACCCGGGTCCTTCTTCATTTCTAACCCAAATCACTCTGAATACCAGGGTTTATATAATTAATCACAAAATTAATCTTTAATTAGGAAGACTGGGAAGCAGTTAGGTTGAGGAGCAAGCAGTCCTTAGGAAACTCAGCAGACTGTCTTCGGCTGAGTTTCTCTCCCTCATCCTCACAGCTTCTAGCAAACAGTAAGGTCATTTTTCTCTCAAGGATCTTTTCAAACTCACAACCACTTAGCAATCAGCATTCGGGGGCCCAGGGAACAGTGGGCAGAGTGCCTGCTCTGCATGTCCTGGGACATCCCGTCTTCCCTCTGGGCCTCAGCTTGCTCGTCTGAGAAAGGGGCCCATCAGGCAAGACGGCCTCTGAGCTTCCCTCCAGCTCAGATGCGCTGTGATTCTCCAAGGCCAGAAAGCCAGAAATCAGAGGCCAAGACTGTAGGGCATGGGTCGGGGGAGGACTGAGAGAGCAGCACCAGGAAAGAAAGCAGGCGGAAAAATGCAAATGGAGGCTGCTCTCCACTCTAGGATCTGCCGTGTCCCTGCCCTCTCCCCTTGGAGGGGTCGGCTGTGCCAGATAAGGGGGTGTGGACCAAGGACGCTCGCCCTCTATGTTCTGTGTTCTCTTGCTGGGGACTTTCTTTCTCTCTCAGCTTCCCTGCTGTATAACTCAGCTGTAAAGAAAAGGAAAAGAGATTGATCTGCTCCTAGACCAGGGCCAGGAGGAGAATCTAGTGTCTTCCAGATTCTTTTGACTGTGCTCTCCTCTAGTTTTAATGTTTTAATTCTTCCACAAGTCATTTCTAAATGATACACTTGCTCCTATTGAACTGATACATTAAGTGCATGATAAAACATACATAAACCGGAAGGTGTTAGGGAATGAGGCAGATTCACACAATTTCTAGTCTTTTCTTCCTGCAACCAGCACTGTCTCACCAGCACTCAGCACCAGCCCTGCCGGTACCCTAGGGAGTGAGCAGGATGCCACCCGCAGGGCAAGGAACCCAGGGAGGTCTTCCTCACGTGTTCTTCTTTCCTTTTGCTGCAAGTTATTTTTAAAAAATATTTATTTGCTTATTTACTTATTTGGCTGGGTCAGGTCTTAATTGTGTCATGAGGATCTTTCCTTTCAGCTCACGGATTCTCTAGTTACAGTTCATGGGCACGGTAGCTCCACAGCATGTGGGATCTTAGTTCCCCGACCAGGGATCAAACCTGCGTCCCCTTCTTTGCAAGCTGGATTCTTAACCACTGGACCATCAGGGAAGTCCCATAAGTTACTTTTAAATGGGGACATCCGATTATAAACACACAGAAGTCAAAAGAGAGAAAAACTGAGAGGGAGGAACGAGACAGAGTGAGAGAAAAACAGATAGGGTGGCATCTAAGAACCAGTGAACAGGAGTCAGTGGGAGAACCGGTTGGGGAACATGGGAGCCGGAAGCTACAGTGGGGGCGCTGAGAGTGCAGAGCTCCTGGGAAAGTCCTGGGCTAGAGTGGGAGCAGGGGCTGGCTTCCCGCAGTCTCACCCCAGGAATTATGCTTCCTGTAATCACAGAACTCTACGCCGTCGGGCCGTGGGTAGAAGATGTAGGCACAGCCACACTCCTTGATCATGCTCGCCTGGAAGCATGAATGAATGCACACCTGGAGGAGGGGAGCGTGAAGGGGGATGGGGTCAGGCCTGCCCACCCCAGGATGGCAGGGGAGGGGAGGACAAACCAGCCCCCCCAGTGTGCCTCCACCCCTCTCTCCATCATCCCCATCGCCCAGCACGCACACCTGGAGGCTACGGCTGACCTACGCTGGACACAGTTGCCATGGAAACAGGCTGGGCCTCACCTGCTGCGTGTACTTGGTATTGTAAAGGTTCTCCACCGGGACCTCGCTGCCATTCTTGGTGCAGTCACCATAGTCGCCCCCGAGTCTGTCCACAGCTTCCTAAGAACCCAGAGACACCAAGCAGTCAGAGGTCAGAGGTCAGAGCAAGTGGTCCAGGCCTCTTCCTGACCTCTGTCTTCCCTCAGTCCCAGGCTGTATGTCCTTCGGCTATCTCTCCTACCCTCCTGGTCATTTCACAACATGACCTCAGGGCTACTTCTGAGAAGGTGTTAGGGAGCCTGGAGCATTCCCTGGAACCCTCAGCATGTTCCAAACCCCTTCCCAGTGCTCTCATCCCATGCGCACTCCTCAGAAACCTATTTCCTAATGCCCACTCAGCCCAGCCCCTCACCCCAGATTTCTGCTCCCGAAGTCCACTACATGCTCAAAGCTCACCCATCACAACCTCTTCTGGTCCTCTGGCTGTCACCCCTGCAAGCCCTCTCTCTGCTCCTCATCTGGGGTCTTCCCCAGGTCTCCTGAGCAGCATCCTTGCCTTACTCATGCTGATGGAGGTCTCCACGCCGGGTCGCAGATTAAAGCCAGCATCATCCATAAAGGCAGGCTCATCCCGTTCATGCACCATCACCCGGGCCCCAGTCACCGTGGACAGCAGTGGAATGAAGTCATTTTGCTCTGTGCGCAGTGTCAGGGACAGACCTGGGGAGAAGGGTTGGGGGTGGGGGGGACAGAGCCAGGGGGCAGGGCACATTGGTTGAGAGAAGCATCAGGGTGTGGAAACCCATCCTCCCACCCTGCCTAGTCTCTAAGCCTCCCAGGGCAGCAAGTTCAGAAAGACCTACAAATGGATTTGGCAACCCCTGAGCTGAATTTGGGGGCTTTCCCTGGTGGCTCAGTGGTAAAAAAGCCACCTGCCGATGCAGGAGACGTGCGTTCGATCCCTGGGTCAGGAAGATCCCCTGGAGAAGGAAATGGCAACCCATTCCAGCATTCTGGCCTGGGAATTCCATGGACAGAGGAGCCTGGTGGGCTACAGCCCATGATGTCGCAAAGAGTCAGACACAACTTAGTGACCAAGCACGTACATGCAGGAGCTGGATTTGGGGTGCAGGGCCAGGCAGAACCAGGATAGGATTCCTATCACACCTGGGATGGAATACGTGATACCCACAGGGGAGAAAAAGCAAAGAGGATTTTCCAGGATATAGATGGGCGTGCTGCAGTGAGGCCTGGAGCACTTCTAGGACAGGAGCTCAAGGCAGGTAGATGTGGGCATACAGGGCAGCGGAGAGGCTGGGGCTGGGGTCGGGACAACGCACCGTTGTTGACCCCGGGCATGGAGGACATCCAGAGGTTGGAGCTGTTCTTGTCGTTGAAAGTGTAGCAGTTTCCAAACATCGGGTGGTGGAAGTGAGAGTAATTCCTATTCAGGAGGGGGGGGGTCAGAGGGGAAGGTGCAGGGGTCAGGGAGAGCAAGACTTTCAGAGCCCTTTGTTTCCTGATCACCTACTATGTGCAGACGCGGTGCTGGAGCCTCACCCAGGCCCTCTCACTAGGCATCATCCCCACTTCACAAGAGAGGAAGCACGGCTCAGAGAGATCAAGTAGCTGCCCAAGGTGAGCAGCGAGCATGAGATGGGACTCAAACCCAGGTCAGCTACCTTCTCGCCCAGGCTCCTTCCCCCAGGCCACCCGACGTCATTGGCCTTGTGGCCTCTCCCATCTCGATGCTGCACTACATTATGAATTCTTGCAGCATCCCTGGCTTCTCACATGTCTACATCTTACTTCCCCATTCAGATTATAATTTCCTTGACAGGAAACACATTGCCTTCATGGCTGAATGGTCTCTGGGTTAATGGCATGGTTCTTGGCATGTAGGAGAAACGGAGATGGAGAACAAATAGTTGATGAATGAATGGAAGAGAAAGGAAGTGGTGGGGGGAGGGGGCAAGACAGTGAGACCAGGAAGGTCAGGTCCAAGGGCAGGAACGAGTCTTGCAACAGCATGCCTCCCACTGGGAGGTCCAAAGCAGGGCTGGGACAGGCTTGGGAACAAAGAGAAAGGAGTCTTAGATTTGTGTTGCTACAATAGGAACATGATTTGACAGCAAATCACATGCCCCCCAATGGGGAAGCTGTGTGGACTGCAGCCAGAGCCCACACCAGAATAGGGGGTATCTAACTCAAAGCTATGGTTTCCCCAGTAGTCACGGACGAATGTGAGAGTTGGACTGTAAAGAAAGCTGAGCACTGAAGAATTGATGCTATTGAACTGTGGTTCTGGAGAAGACTCTTCAGAGTCCCTTGGTCTGCAAGGAGATCGAACAAGTCAATCCTAAAGGAAATCAGTCCTGAATATTCACTGGAAGCTGAATATTCAGCTTCACTGAAGATGAAGTTTCAGCTTCACTGGATGCTGAAGCTTAAACCCCAATACTTTGCAAAGAACTGACTCATTGGAAAAGACCCTGAAGCTGGGAAAGATTGAAGGCAGGAGAAGGGGACGACAAAGGTTGAGATGGTTGGATGGCATCACCAACTCGATGGACATGAGTTTGAGCAAGCTCTGGGAATTTGTGATGCAGATCACCTGGCAAGGAAGGCAATCAGAGAAGCCTGGCATGCTGCAGTCATGGGGTCACAAAGAGTCGGACACGACTAAGCAACTGAACTAAACTGAACTTCCCAGCCAACAGGGGGTATCTGTTCTAACTCCCCAGCCATGGGGGCGTCAGGGAGAAGAAGGGGATGGGGCTTTGGGCTGGGGGAGGTAGAGGAGGAAAGGAAGAGAAGTAGGGGAGGGAAGAAGGCTGGACAGAGATGAGGAAGGGGGCGCTGACAACATAGCCTTAAGCAAGCCACTTTTCTTAAGCTCCCTGTCCTCAGTCTATAAAACGAGGAGATGGAACTCAATGATCTGGAATAGTCCATCCCCTCAAAGAGCAAAGGCTCAGGGTGTGAAATACTAGCACACGTTCTGGGGAGAGCTAGGACGGCAGCATTTCCAGAGCACAGGCTGTGCTCAGGGAGGGATGAAAGAGGAAGAGGCCAGTCCTACAAGGCCTGGGAGCCCTGCTCAGAGGGGAGGGGACAGGGATACCACGGTCTGTCTGCCGCAGGTGGAATCCACAGAGCAGACCGTGGATGAATCTTAAACTCACAGAGCTTAGTTTAAAATGTGAAAAGCAACATGAGATACATAATACAACACCATTTATGTCCACATTACACACACACTTGGTAAAAACACATACAAACAGAAACACATTGAGTGCATTACGAGGGTGTATGAGAAGCAGTGTAATATGATGGTGAAGAGTACGGACTCCAGGGCAAAGCTACTTGGACTTGAACCCCAGCTCTAACGACTGTCAGCTGGGAGACCAGCCCAAGCACTTGATCTCTTTGTGTCACAGTTTCCTCATCTGTAAAATAGGGATGATACTAATACTGACTTCATAGGGATTCTGAGAGGATTAAATGACACCTAGAACAGTGCTTAGCACTGAATAAGGGCTATATAAATTTGTTATTAAGAGTATAGGAAATCAGGGATTTCCCTGGTGGTCCAGTGGTCCTCAGAGCTTTCATGGCTATGGGCCTGTGTTCAATCCCTAGTCGGGGCTGGATCCTACAAGCCTCATGGTGCAGCCAAAAAAAAAGAGGGGGGGGGTATAGGGATTTATTAAGACAGCTAAAACCAAAATGACAGCTATAACAAGGCAAGGATGTAGAGAATTTGCAACCCTCACACACTGGTGGTGGGAATGTAAAATGGCACAGGTACCTGGAAAAGAGTCAGACATTCCTCTAAATGTTAAATATGTTAAAAATGTTACTATATGACCCAGCAGTTCCACTCCTAGCTATCTACCTGCTGCTGCTGCTGCTAAGTCACGTCAGTCATGTCCGACTCTGTGCAACCCCATAGACAGCAGCCCACCAGGCTCCCATCCCTGGGATTCTCCAGGCAAGAATACTGGAGTGGGTGGCCATTTCCTTCTCCAGTACATGAAAGTGAAAAGTGAAAGTGAAGTCGCTCAGTCGTGTCTGACTCTTCAAGACCCCACGGACTGTAGCCTACCAGGCTCCTCCGTCCATGGGATTTCCCAGGCAAGAGTACTTTAGTGGGTTGCCATTGCCTTCTCCCAGGTATCTACCTAAGAGAAATGAAAACATACGTCCATACGCATACGTGTACAGGAACGCTGATAGCAGCATTCAGCATTATTCATAACAGTCAAAGGTGAAAGACACCCAAATGTTCATCCACCAAAGCATAGATAAACTAAATGTGGCATAAACATACAATGGAAAACTATTTAGTGAAAAACAGGCATGAACTGGGGGACTTCCCTGGTGGTCCAGTGGTTAGGGCTACACACTTCCACTGCAGGGGGAACCAGGGTTGGATCCTTGGTTGGATAACTAAGATTTGCCTTGTGATGCAGTCAAAAAAAAAAAAAAAGCAGGAATTACTGATACAGGCTGCAACATGGATAAACCTTACTAAGTAAAAGAAGCCAGTCACAAAAGACCACATATTACGTGATTCCATTTATATGAAATGTCCCCAGTAGGCAATCCATAGAGACAGTGGTTAGTAGATTAGTGGTTCCCAAGGCTTGGAGGAGGGGACGACATAGGGAGACAGGAAAACATTCTAAAATTAGACAGTGTTAATAGTTGCACAATTCTGTAAATATAGTAAAAACTACTGAATTGTATCCATTCAAAGGATAAATTTTGTGGTATGCAAAGTGCAACTCAATAACATTGTTATTAAAGAAAAGATCATAGACAGAGAGGCAAGAGAATTGAATCCAGAGTAGGAAAGGGCTGAGAAAGCCATGATAAAGAACCTCAACTCGATCCCAAAGGCCAGAGAGACACTGACAGATTTTACATAGGACTGTCTAGAATAGTTAAGTGCAGTGAAGTACACTGCAGAATGCTGAAGAATAAAGCTTCTTGCGGTCGCAGAATAAAGGGAGGCTCGAGAGGCAGAGAGACAGATTAGGGGGCTATGATAACCCCGGTGAGAAACGATGAGGCTCTGAAGTGAGGAAGTGACCTAAGTGTCAAGACTGAGATGAACTATGGACTTTCCATTGATGAGAAGGCGGGAGCCTGGGGCGGGCAAAGTGAGAGGGTGACAGAGCGACTCGGTGGCAGGTGTGGGCTGCCACAGGCTCAGGTGCTGCTACCGTCTCACTTGTACTCAAACAAACACACAAACCCAAGCCAGGAACACAGGTGTTTTCGGGGCAGAGTGTGTGTTCCAGGTGAGGAGAGGAAGGGGCAGAAGCAGGTGACACCTGGCCCTGCTGACAGTCTTCAGTGACAAGGAAGGGACAGGGTCCCTATGGGGTGGAGATGCTGCCTCGGGCCCTTCCGTGGCTGGGAAGAGGCAGAGAGATGGTGCCTGAACTTCAAGGAATGCGGACGGGAAGGTGGGGCGAGCAGAGGCTTCAGAAGGGGACCTCCCTTACTCCTAGCCTCCCCCTCCCCCCAAGCCCTCAGAGAGTTGGCAGCAGCCATGACCTCTTTGCAAGGACATTATGAGAGGAGATGTGACTGAAAGAACGCCAGGCAGGCAGTGCAGTAGTGTGAGGGGGACCCTTGGCTCTGGCTGGCCTGGTGTCCAAGGGCAAGTCACTTCACCTGCGTGACTGTCACTTCCCATGAGCCATGAGGCCCACGACTCACTGCAGTATATAAAGTGCCCTCAAACTCCTTATCTCTTGCACTCGAAGATAGATGTTATCATCTTCATCGTTCAAGGAAAAGTGCCAAGGGAATTCCCCGGTGGTTCAGTGGTTAAGACTCTGAGATGCCACTGCAGGGGGCACGAGGTCAGGGAACTAAGATCCTCCTGCATGCCACCAAGTGTGGCCAAAGAAAGAAAAAGTGTCAGAAGGGCAAGGATTTTTCCTTCTTCTTTGATGTATCCCAAATGCCCAGAACAATGACTGGCACATAGTCCAGATAGTCAAAAATATTGGTTCAATAAACACTGAAAGAATCTCATTTCCCTCCATTTCACAAATGAATACATAGGCTCTGAAGAGTGGAGTGAAATGCCCAGAGTCACCTGGTCCAGAAGAAAGAGACCCGGAGCAAGAACTGAGGGTTAGTCCCTGATTCGGTCCATGCTATATCCACCACCCACTGCTACCTGCATTATCTGAGCCAGCGGGGCAGGGAACCAGATGACCTTCCAGGCATTCTCGAGCTTGATACCAGTGAGAAAGAGGCCTCAGGAAAATGGGGAGCCATGCTTCAGTCCTTGGATTCTCAAAGCCAGACTTCAAGCCCGGCCTTCCCAAGGCTCCCATCTGACACTGCCGCAGACCCAGGGAGCAGGGAGCCACCCATGTCCTGCAGGGCCATTCCCCAGGCAAAGGTTTGGACCTGTGGTCAATATTTTCCCTTCCTCCCCACCTGCAGGCATTCAGTTATTCAACCAGCACTCCAAGGTGCCTTCCATGCTGGGTCTCAGGATGGTCCAGCAAAGGAGACCCGGGGTGGGGGGGGGGGGCGCAGAGCAGGAAGCCTGGCAGCAGGGAAGGACTCACGCCTCATTCAAGGAGTCCTGGGAAAAGCGGCAGGTGAAGATGAATTTGCCCAGCACGTCCTCCTCCAGCGAGGGAGAGGTGTCCTGTCTCCGTCTGGACAGAATGTTGATGTAGTGGAAAGGGTCTCAGGATGGTCCAGCAAAGGAGACCCGGGGGGGGGGGGGGGGGCGCAGAGCAGGAAGCCTGGCAGCAGGGAAGGACTCACGCCTCATTGCAGGAGTCCTGGTTGAAGCGGCAGGTGAAGATGAATTTGCCCAGCACGTCCTCCTCCAGCGAGGGAGAGGTGTCCTGTCTCCGTCTGGACAGAATGTTGATGTAGTGGAAGCGGTACCACTCCCTCACAGCATCCACCCCTGACGAATACGTCTGGTAGAAGCAGTCCGATTTGTTCTGGTTGCACTGGACACAGAGACCAGAGCGTCAGAGGACCAGCAGCAAGGGTAAGCAGGGTGGGGCAAGGTCAAGCAATGAATGGTCTGGGGTCCTAATGACTGATAGAAAGGGGCGGGGAGCCAGGCTGGGAGAAGCCAAAGCCTGGAAGACAGCAGACCTGGAGAGCACGGGATTGATGGAGGAGACTGGGAGCTGCACACACCTTGCAGTCATTTATGCAGCCTCTGAGGAGGGTGAAGCAAGGATTCTTCTCCCCATTTCACAGATAGGAATACTGAAGGATCAAGCAGTTTTCCCAGTATCAAAGAGGGGACTGGAACCCTGGTTTCTGGGTACCGTCTCTCTGCTTCGCTCCCTTTTTTTAAAAATCTTTATTATTATTTTTACTTTAATTGGAGGATAATTTCTTTACAATATTGTTGGTTTCTGCCATACAATATGAATCAGCCATAAATATATATATATATGTATATGTATATATGTGTGTGTGTGCACTTAGTCGATCAGTCATGTAAGACTCTGTGCGACCCCATGAACTGTAGCCTGCTAGGCTCCTCTGTCCATGGGCATTCTCCAGGCTAGAATATTAGAGTGGGTTGCCATGCCCTCCTCCAGGGGATCTTCCTGGGAGGAAGCTCCCCCACCGGGGAGCCTCCGGGGAAGCCCAAGACAGAGAATAGGGAGAAGATAGCAAGAAAACTAAAAAAAATAAATAAAGATGGGAGGGAGGCTTAAGAGAGAGGATATACATAGATATAGATATAGATATAGATATAGATATAGATATAGATATAGATATATGGGCTTCCCCGGTGGCTCAGTGGTAAAAAAATCTGCCTATCAATGTAGGAGACCTGGGTTGGATCCCTGGAGAAGGGAATGGCAACCCACTCCATTATTCTTGCCTGGGAAATCCCATACACAGAGGAGCCTGGTGGGCTACAGTTTAAGAGGTCGCCAAGAGTCAGACACAACTGAGCAACTAAACAATAACAATTCTCTGTCTTGGGCCTGCTGGAGCCCCAATGCCCCATCACCCTGGAAGGTCCCAAGTGAGTCCCACACTGGGGATCAGAATTCAGAAAGAGCATTTCCACAGTAGATCTGACTTCCCATCCCCATAAACACTCCCACAGAGGCCCCCATCGAGGAGCCTCCCCAAGCTGGTGCCCAGAGAGACGTTATTTAATTTTAATTTCCAAATTTATTCATATATGTAACCTATTTATTTTGCCAGCGCGCCGACTCCCGCCTCTTCATTGGCAGCGAAGGAGGGTCGCGCAGGGCCGGGGGCTGAGCCGACTCCGGCGCGCAGGCGGAACCAGAGGGCTGGAGGGGGGCAATGGGCCGCAAGGGAGTTGGAGGAGTTGTACTCGTACAGGTCGAAGAGCGTCTGCTCCGTGATGCGGTCCAGCTCCTCCAGCTCCTCTTGAATTTCCTTGTACCTGGAAGGGGCGACGGTGAACGGTCGGACTAGGAGGTGGCGGCCTGGTGACAGTCCTCGCCCCCCCCCCGCCCCCCACTATCTCCCGTGCCTCAGTTTCCCCGTCTGTAACGGGTGAGATCAGTTCAGCAGAGAAGTCGGCGGGGAATAGCTCTGGGGTCTCCTGGGCTATCTCGGGGGCGAAGGGAGGCGCAGACAGGTGTGTCCGCCTCCGGGTGATTGGAGGCGACAGTGAGCCCCGGCGGGGACGGCATTTATTGCCGCATGTTTATCGTAAGGGAGAGGCGGGAGGTGCTCTCTTTCCACTCGCCCTGGCCTGGAAGGGAACCCGGAACTTGTCTGCCGTTTCCAAGGGCAGAAGAGGGGGTGGCCGGCAAGGCCCAGACACTCACTCCCACGGACCAAAATGGTGCATGGGCCATCCGCCCCGCCCCGCTCTTCGCGAGGGTGGCCCTTGACCGTCTGTCACTTGACACTTTCTAAATCAGGGAGTCTCAACTGCACTTCTAGAAACTTCCGAGGAACTTTAAAAATACAGGTACCATACACTATCCTTTCCCCGCCCTCCTACACCAAAGACTCAGTTTTAAGGAGTTTCAGGTGGGGCTCAAAAATCGTGAGTTAAACACTGTCCAGTATAAATCCCCACATTCCTTCTCAATACAGGGCCTATATCATCTCCATCATGAAAGTCCAGGCAAAGTAGCAGGGCCTCAGGGATAGAATCTACCAAAACAAAACAAACACCTAGGACCGATAAATAAACAGGGTTACGGGATATAAAACCAATATGCAAAAAAAAATGTTTCTTCATGCTAGCGATAAAAAAAAAATGGAAAATGAAATCACAGCACCGTATTAAATAGCATAAACAACATGAAATACTGGGAGTAAATCTGATGAAAGGCGTACAAGACCTGTACACTGAAAATCCTGCTGAAATAAATCAAAGACCAAAATAAAAGGAGTTGCAGCCGTTAGTAGATCAGGAACTCCTATGCCACCTTCCAGATTGCTCTCTAGATTCAAGCTGTGCATGCATGCTCAGTGGAGAAGTTGTGTGGGACTCTTTCTGACCCCAGGACTGTAGCTCACCAGGCTCCTCTGTCATGGAATTTTCCAGGCAAGAATACTGGAGTGGGTTGCCATTTTCTTCTCCAGGAGATCTTCCAGACTCAGGGATTGAACCTACATCTGCATTGCAGGCGGGTTCATTACCACTGAACCACCCGGAAAGCCCAGATTCAAGCCAAGCCCTATCAAAATTCCAGCAGACATTTTTGAAGAAATTGACGGGTCAATTCTAAGATTGCTTTGGAAATGCAAAAATCTAGAATGGCCAAAACAAGTTTGGAAAAGAAGAGCGAAGTTGGAGTGCTTACTCTACCTCACTTTAAGACTGTAAAGCCATGGTAATCAAAAAACAGTGTAGTGCTTATGTAAGGATAAACAGATCAATGGGACAGAATAGAGTCCAGAAATAAACTCAAATATATATATGGTCAACCTGATTTTTGACCAAAGCACCTGTTCAGCTCAATGAGGAAATATTTTTTTTAAAAAAAAGATGATGCTGGATATTGTATGAAAAGGGGGGGGGGCGGGGAGAAAGAACCTCAACCTCTACTTTAGTCTGTATACAAAAATTAAGTCAAGCAACCCAAACAAAAAATTCAGAACCATAAAGATTATAGAAGGAAACTTCAAAGATACCTTCACAACCTTGGGGTAGGCAAAATTTCTTAGAATAAAAAATATCTAAAGTAGAAATCCTGAAATATAAAAACCTCTTACAAATCAAAAAGAAAATGACATTGTTTTAAAAAGGAACCCCTCAAATATTCAAATGGTCACTAAACACATGAAAAGATGCTCAACATCATTAGTCCTCAAATGTAAATTAAAACCATAATGAGGTGCCATTTAACATCCATTAGGCTTAAATGAAGAGACTGACGACATCAAGTGTTGGTGAGAATGTGGAGCATCTGAAATTGCTGCTGGCGGGAGTCTAAAATGGTACCACTGATATGGAGGACAATCCCTCGTGGCTCAGATGGTAAAGAGTCTGCCTGTAATGCAGGAGACTTGGGTTCGATCCCTGGGCTGGGAAGAGCCCCTGGAGAAGGGAATGGCTACCCAGTCAAGTATTCTTGCCTGGAGAATCCCATGGACAGAGGAGCCTTTGCGTCCATGGAGTCACAAAGAGTCAGACAAGACTGAGTAACTAACACACACACACACACATGGTGGTCCTCATGTGCCTAGTCCAAACCTCACAGTCCTCAGCCACCATCTCCTTCATAAAAGTCTAGCAGGCTGCCCCTCATCCTCTCATAGGAGAAAAATGTAGCTCAGGTCAAAGGTGTGTGTTTAACATTCTGAGACTTGTTTGTTATTGGTCATTAAAAGAACAGCAATTATATTTTAAATGGATAACCAACAAGAACCTACTTTATAGCACAGGGAACTCTGCCCAGTGTTATGGGGCAGGCAGGATGGGAGAGGAGTTTGGGGGAGAATGGATACATGTGTATGTATGGCTGAGTTGCTCTGCTGTGCAACTGAAACTATTACAACATTGTTAATCAGCTATACTCCAATATAACATTAAAAGTTTAAAAAAAAAAGCAGTAAAAGTTATAGGAATGGAGTTCTAATCAGCTTCCCAGGTTCATTTCCTAGCCTTACCACTTACCTGCGTGGTGATAAGGATTAAGTGAATTAACATATGAGAAACATAGTAAGTAAAAGAGCTGGCAGAGTGAGTATTGTCTAACTGCAGCTATTGTTTTTATGGTCACAACTGTTCTTCAATAAGAACAATAGTAAAATAATAGTAACCTATTGTTGGAGAAGAGAAAGCTGGGGAGACAGGAGAGCACTGCCTGCCACTCAACTGCCCTGTGATTTTGTGATCTTAACGGAATTAGAGGGACTGCCCTGATGGCCCAGCGGTTGAGAATCCACCTGCTGATGCAGGGAACACGGGCTGGATCTCTGGGAGGGGAAAATCCCACATGGGGCTGAGCAACTTAGCCTGTGAGCCGCAACTGGAGCTCACGCGCCTGGAGCTGGTGCTCCACAAGAGAAGCCACGGCAATGCGAAGCCTGCGCCCCTGTTTGCCACAACTAGAGAAAGCCCGCACATGGCAGCGATGACCAAGTGTAGCCAAAAATAAATTAATTGATATTTTTTAAAAAGTGGAGCCGAGGACTAGATGCCAATTCTGACTCGTCCACCTAAACAGTTGGGTGACCTTTGCAAAACCTGTACGTTTCTCAGAGCCTCTGTCTTCTCCTCTGACTCTGGGCTGGTAGTTCCTCCTTATTCAGTCAGCCTGTGACGAAGATCAGATCATGATAATGGATGCTGAAATGATAGCCTGGTGACTGCTGTCCTTAGAGCCCCTGAACTGATGACCACTGGGCAAAGAAGGAGGAGATGTCTTTAGAGCTGCTTCAAAGACAGAACCAGGGCCAGAGGGCAGAAGTTATGGTAAGGTAAGCTGCAGTTTTACCTAAGGAAGAACTTTCCACCAGCAGAGATAAGTGACATTCCTGACACAAAGTAGTCCATCACTGGGTGGGTGGGTGGGGGGCGGGGTGCCAGCTCTAAGAGTCTGGGCTTTTTGTCCCTGCCAGGCCTGCCAATGCAGAACCTGCTTTCTAGATCCTGGGGGGAGTGGGGGGCAGCACAGGGTCCACCCAAGGGTCAAGGTTGGGTGGCCTGGCTCAGAGCCTTCCCCTCCCTCAGTGCAGCTCTCTGGGGGGAAGGAAGATTCCATGACCTTCTTTGCTGTCCAAGAATGCCACACTCTTCCTTAAAACCAGCCTCAGTCCCTCCCAGGATTGAATGAAAAATATGTGCTCTTGGGCTCTGTTTGCCGAGGATGTGGCTTTGTCTGGCCCCCTCTCTTGGGTGAAAAAAGCCCTTTGTTAACCAGAAAGGGGATGAGGATTGCTGTGGCTGACCTTTCACATTGGACTCTCAACACCTCCTTGCTTAGTATGAAGGTCTTCAGCCTTATCCCCTTTCCTGGCAGTTATAGAACAGCCCAGAATACCCCTCCCCCTCTGCTGGCCACACTCCTGCCACCTGCAGGTGGGCACCTGGGCTGACTTTGCCTCCAGTTATCTCACAAGCTCCTCTATCTCTTCCACGACTTCCACCCCCTCCCTGCTTCACCGTCACCTATCTTGCCTCTGCCTCCAGCACCCACGCCAGCTAGCAGCATGAGTCACACGCAGGTCCCCACCCACCAGGCTTCATCAACCTGTCCACCCAACCCTGCCTGTCTCCTGGAGCAGGAACCAATAACCCGGACCCTTCCCTTCTCCCCTCCCCACCCCCTAGGCTCCTGCTGCTCCCCACAGGCTCCCACTAGCCCCCACCTCTGGACACCTTTGCCTGGCCCTTCCTTAAACTGCAATGGGAGAAAGAACTTTGAAAGCAAACATACTTGGTCTTCGACTCAGCCCCTGCTCCTAGATTCACTGGCTTCTATGGGGGGGGGCGGCAGATTTTTGAATCTGTTTCACCACTAGTTCCCTGTGTGAACTTAGGCAATTACTTAACCTCTCTGGGCCTCAGTTTCCTCATCTATAAAATGGGAGTAATACTGATATCTACCTAAGAGATCTGTTGTGAAAATTAAATCATTTGATTAATATAAATTTTTTTTTGTTTGGCACATATTAAGTACTATGTGTGTTAGCCATTATCATTGGTGTTTTTTCTTTCTTTCTTTCTTTCTTTCTTTTTTTTTGGCCACACCCTATGGCATGTAAGGTCCTAGTTCCCTGACCAGGAATTGAACTGGCATCCTCTGCATTGGAAGTTCAGAGCCTTAACCGTTGGACTGCCAGAGAAGTTCTCGTTGTTATTTTTTATTATTACTTGCTGTTTGACCCTGCTCACTTCACCTCTACTTCCTCATCTGCAAAATGGAAATAATAATAATGCCTGTCTCCATGGACCTGTCAAGATTAAATGAGGTAGTACTTAGAGAACTCCCAGTGCAGGACCGAGCACATAGTAGGGGCTCCATATCCTTCCCCGGCTTTGAGGCGCCTTCTCCGACTCCCCTCCTATCCAGCGTGCTGGGTGTCTCCCCACTAACTCCTGCAGGAGGGATTGTTTCCATCGGTGAGAACACTTGCCTCCCAGCCTGCAAGCCCCAGAGGCCAGGGCTCTGGTTTTCATTCCCTGGGGCGTTTTCCTCTACTGCCCAGGGCCTTGCACCCTGCAGAACCTTGGAAAATATGCAGGCCTCAACAGATTTATCCTTGCACTGTCCATCTGTCACCCACATCTTTCAACCACAGTCTTTATTGAGAGCCTACTATTGGCTAGTTCCTCCTGCCTGCCTGCCCTCCCCTCCCCACTGCCCCAGGGGATGAGGGTGGGGGGAAGTAGGGGAAGGAAGAGGGCTGGGAGCACTGAGGTTGGGAAGAAAAGAAGCAAAGCCGCAGGCACCAGGGGAAGAGAAAGAAGGCTGAGAGAGAGAATAAGACAAGCTCAGAAATGTGATGTAGGGACTTCCCTGGTGGTCCAGTGGTTAAGACTCTGCCCTCCCAATGCAGGGGATGCAGGTTTGATCCCTGATCAGGGAACTAAGATCCTACATGCTGCACAAAACAAACAAAAATCAAACAAAAAAACCCAGACAAACGAATGAGAAATGAGATGTAACATTTGAGCAGGAACTCCATTATTCCACATCCATATTTTGGGTATTAAGAAGAGGCAGGGGTTTGCAATCAGGCAAACTGGGTGGAAAAGACCAGTGATGCTGGGAAAGATTGAAGGCAGGAGAAGTGGGCAACAGAGTATGAGATGGTTCGATGACATCGCTGGCTCAATGGGCATGAGTTTGAGCAAACTCAGGGAGATAGTGGACAGGCAAGCCTGGGGTGCTGCAGTTCATGGGGTTGCAAAGAGTCAGACACGACTTGGTGACTGGACAACCGCCACCACAAACAGGGAAAGTCACAGTGGAGTCTGCGACCTTGTGCCTTAGCTCTCTCTGCCTCAGTTTCCTCAAGTGTAACCCAGGAATAATAACAGTATCTGCCTCAAAGGATTGCTGAAAGAATTAAAGAGCTGCCCAAGGAGTTCTTAACTGCATCCAGTGGTTTGGTGCATGAAGCACCTTCTCAGTAACTGGCCTCTTAACCTGGGCCTCATACAGGAGGAGGAAGGCCTCACATCAGTGAAGTGGCAGAGCAGTGTTTTCTCTGCAGGACAGGATGTCCCAACCCTGATCAGCTCATGACACACCTCTGGATACGACAGACTACACCATCCCTGATATGTGACCAATCCCACTCACTTGCAATTGCACGCACACCTCATTTGTTTGCTCACGCACATTCATGTGATCACATACACACTAGCTCATAAACCTTACACTCTGACTCTAGCTTACAATGTTTATGGTACCTGTCACAGTGCACTGAGGTTATTTGTTTGTATGCCTATCTCTTCCATCTTATCTTTCAATACCTAGCAAAGTACTTGGCCTTCAGCAACGATTGTAGGAATTATTGATGAACCCATTCCCTGGGTGCCTAGAGCCGTGTCTGGCCTGCCGCAGGTGTCCCAAGATGTGAGGTGTGGCAGGACCAAGTGACCACACAGAAAAGGTGTGTGTAAACACCCAACCCTGCCCTCCTGTCTTCTCCATGGTTACCTCTACCCCCTCTGGCTTCCAAACCGAAAATTGGCAAAGAACGCTGGTGAAACCCAAAACTTCAGGACACACCCAAACACCGCACCTGGACAGGTACTGCACAGCTCAGCAGGGTCACCTGGGCCTTTGGGGGAACAGCCTGACCAGAGCAGCTTCTATCCTGTCCTGTTGTCCTGGCTCTGTGACTACAGCCCCACTCACCCCCCAACCCCCCCTCGAGGCTAATGCAAGCCTCCACCACCACCACCACTCCCACACTTTGCTTTCCCCAACACAAACTGCCCTTCTCAACCCAGACCACCCTGCCAGGGCCCAGTCCCAGCCAGCTCCCACCACCACCACTACGGCCCCCCCACCACACCTGCAATCTTCTCCTGGCAGGATCTCCATCAGATTCATCTCCTGATAAGGAGGAGGGGCTGATTCCTACCCTGCCCTTCTGAACTTATCAGCATCTCGACCTCATCCGCACTCCCCCCTACTTTCAGGAGGATGAAGGTGTGGAGGAGGAGACTGTCGGTCCAACAAGCCCGCTCTGGAGAAGACCCAGGCACTAGGAAGTCTTCCCTGGGCAGAGTGGCCGGCCCATCATGTCAAGGGCTCTCCTCTCCTGCCCAGAGGGACGTCTGACTCAGGTTACCTGTAGGGGTTTAGGGTGCAGATGGAGACAGCGGGGAAGATGAGCTTGTCCGAGTTGAGGTTGATGTTGAGGCTGACGGGATAGCTGAAGTACTCTCCAAAGAGCTGGCCGAATTGCCAGTACATCATGCCGAAGGTGCAGAGCCAGAGCACGGCCCAGAAGACTGTCTTCATGCGGTTGTGCTGTGAGCACACCAAGCGGATGGCGCCGTGGATGGTGGTGTTGTTGCAGAAGAACTCGAAGAGCTCCCGGTAGGAGCGGTGGAACTCGAGCAGGGCCTCCTCCTCCTCCGTGGGCGGCGGGGGGCCCGAAGGCTCAGGGCCCGGCCCCGGCTCCTCAGGCTTGTCTCCCTTCATGAGCCCTTGTGGGGGTCGGGGAGGGCAAGGGGCCGGGCTGAGTTCTGGGCTCTGGGTGCCTCCTCCATCCTCATCAGCTGGGGCCCGTGCCCTCATCCCACTCTCTTCCCACCTCTTGCCCACTTTCTCCCCCTCCTCCCCGGGAGCCTGCTGACCTGCCAGAGTCTGGTCAGAATTGCTGGAGCCGAGCCTCCCTTGTGTGGCCTCTCTGCCTCCGTGATAAGGCTCCCTTTGGTTTCTGTCCTAGACTCTCCTTGTCTGTATCCTCTGTCTCCTCTGTTCAGTCAATCTCTGTCTTTGGTCTTCTTCCTCCAATATCTGTGTCTTAGCTTCTCTCTGCCTCCGTCTCTCTCTTTCTGTCCCTCTCTCCGCCTTTCGCTTCTCTTCGGGTCTCTCGGCTCTCTTTCTTGCCTGTTTCCTCTCCGGGTGTCAGGCTCTCCGATCTTGCCCCTCTTCCTCTCCCTCCCCACCCGGCCCTCTCTCCCCTGCGGTCTGGACTCTCTCCTCTGGCCCCCGGGCCTGACCTCGGGCTGTGACCTGACTCCTTCTCGGTCCCAGGGACGGCCGGGCTCTGAGAGGTCTGGGCTGCCTTCTGCTTCCCACTCCCAGGTTGTGGCTGGACTGGGACTGGTTCCTTTCCAGTTGAATCTGGCAGCCCGGCTTCTCCTCCCCCTCACCTGACAGGTGCAGCAGCCAGACTGGGGAGCCCGCCCGCCGGGCCGGGATGGAAGCCGCAGAAGCCTCATTAGCATCTCAATTAAAGGTGAGCCGGGCAGGAGGAGGGGCCGAGGAGGAGTCACAGCTGAGAGCTCTCCCGAGGGAGGAGGGCTCCTGAGGGCAGGTGACCTGCAGCACCCGGACTGGAAAAGCGAGAAGAAAAGTCAGGGCTGGGAGTCCTGGGGAGCCAGCAGGCAAGGAGACCGGGAGACAAGAAGGCAGGCAAGGGATGGAGGTCTTGAACCTGGAGGTGATGCTGAACGCAAAGACAGGAGGGCAAAGCAAGGAAAAAGGACAAGTCAGGATGAGTGAAACTAAGGTGTGGGGACCAGGAGAACAGGGAAGGCCAGATAGTGGAGGTGGGTGGATGGAGGAGAAGGGGAAGGACCGGGAGGGAGGGATGGATGGAGGACAGGCAGAGAAAGAGGGGTGAGGAGGAGGAAGCCAGCCCCAAAAGGAGTCCCCCCCGCCCCACCACTGAAGGAGAGGCAAGGGGACGGACTGCCCCCAGTGGGCTTCCAAGAACCAGGGCCCCTCCCTGGGGAATCCTTCCAAGGGCACCCCTGGGTCAGCCTCACCCCTGGACCCTGGAGAAGAAGGAGGCAAGGCCCGAAGGCTTCCTCCCTGCTCACTAAGGTGTGAACACCTCCCGACCCCGCCCAGGAGCACCCCTCTGCCTCTCCCAGCTGGTCCTGCCCTCCTGACCCCTCACCCCCACCCCGAGCCTGTCCAGCCCTGGGAGGGGCCCAGGTGCAGCTGGGGGCTGGGCGGGGCCCTGGGACATTCTGTTCCTTTTTACACCATTGGCTGCCGGGCCAGGAATGTGTCGCGTCCCCAGTTGTGGTCACGGGGTTGCTGGAATGTGTGCTCAGAGAAGAGGGGCCACCAGGGCACTCGGGCAGAGCCTCGGAGCCCAGGGATAGCGGGCACCAAGGAGGCAGGAGGGATTTGGCCGTGAAGAGAGTGGGGAGAAAGAAGCTGAGCCTGGCCCAAGGCTGCACCAACCCTGGAAGGAAGGAAAAACTCAACGTGGGGGCCATGGTTTTCCTCCAAAATCTCTGCCCCAGACAACCCAGCAAGAGAATGGAGTGAGGGAGCAAGCAGAAAAGGGGGAAGGGGTCAGAGAAGGGCCCAGGAGGCACAGAGACCCAAGTACACAGCCCAGGCCAGAGGTCTGTCACTGTGACCCCGAAGCAGGTAGACACTGGCTCCTCTCGCCTCCAGGAGAAGGGGGGCTGGGACATGCAGACAGGCCCAGCCTGAGCCTGGATGCAGCTGGATAGGAGAAGATAGGCCCTCGAGGTCATGAAGTCATAAGACAAGGATCCTGGTAACAGAGAGCGGAGCCAAGTGCTGAGGGAGCCTGGGGGTGAGGCGGAAGGGAAAGGCACTAACCCAGGAGATTCAGGAAGACTTCCCGGAGAAGGCGGCATCTCAGCTGGGTCTTGCAAAACAAATGAAGGCTCCCATCTGTGGCCGGTCCCGTGGCCTCTTAAAGCGAGAGCTGCTGTCGATCAGGCTTCCAAACCCACCCCATCGCTTCCCCAACGCCTTAGGGGACCCCTCTGTGGAGAAGGGAAAGGCTGGCTTTTTCTTCATTTTCCAGATGAAGAAAGTACCCTCCACAAAGACAGGCCAGTTTTCTGTGGACGCAAAACCAAACAGCAGTAGCATGAAGAAGAGAAGCAGAATTCTTCTTCAGCAAGTGGGGGGTTGTCTGCTTAGGGCTTTTGCCACACACCCCGAGACAGACCAGCCACAGACTTGTGGGGAGCTGGGGCTCCCCTGCACCTTGTTTTGAAAGTCAGGCAGGTTCACATACTCCCACCAGCCATCTGGGTCCTGGACTGTCTCCCAGACTCCCTAAGAAGCTCTGTCTACTATCCCCGCCTTCCCAAAGGACATCCTACCAACAGGAGGAGTAGCCAGCACCCTGCCTGTCCCATCTCAGAGGTTCAAAGAGACACGTCCCTGCCACGTCCGTTTGCCAGTTGATGCCTGAAATCCAGTCACTGGCCCAAGGCTGCAAGACAAATAGTTTTACCTTTAAAGCTTCATTGATCAGGATCGCAAGGCCCAGTCTGGGCGGAGCTGGGGAGCGAGCCCAGTGTCCCCGAAGCACCTGCTGAGGTGTGGCAGCTTAGAGACAGCAGCATTCCAGATCTGGAATGGGCCAGAGCAAGCTTGTTCTGGTGAAAAAAAATGGAAACCTGAGGCCTGCACCTGTGTCATAGCTCCGTTTTAAATATTATCTTTTAAGGCACAGGGGAAAAAAAAACCTGAACACATTTTCCTCACAACACAGTTTTCCAATAACACAGAAGTTTGCAGATCAATAAAAGCCTCTCAGTCCCAGTCCATTCCCACCCCTCGACTCTGGGTGCCACTGTCATTTGTGTCCATCTGTATCTCTTTTGGGTGCTTTTATAGACTTCCATGTATTTTTAAAAAACAAAATATATAGCTTTTCCATAAATGGGACCATATTATAGGCATTATTCTATGATTTCCATTTTTACTTTTAAACTATGCGACTTCAGAAATGACACTCAGGACTTCCCTGACTCTGAGCTCCCAAAGCAGAGGGTCCAAGTTTGACCCCACACACCACAACTAAGAGTTTGCATGCCGCAACTAAAGATCTCACATGCTGCAACTGAAAAAAGAACCCAAATGCCATAATGAAGGTCAAAGATCCGAAGTACAGAACACCCAGTGCAGCCAAATGAATTAATTAATTACTTTTTAAATGACACTTTGCCACTATGGGGCCCAGGCTTCTCAAGGAGAGAGCAGGAGGGTGGAGTGTGTAAGGCAGCCCAGGTGGTTGCCAAAGTCCTTTCCAGCTGGCTCTGCATATAGCCAGTATGGAGGTTCCTTAATAATCTAAAAATAGAGATACCATATGATCCAGCAATCCCACTCCTGAGCATGTATCCAGTGAAGACAAAAACTAATTTGAAAACATACGTTCAGCCCAGGGTTCATAGCAGCTCTGTTTACAATAAGCAAGGCACAGAAACAAGCCAAGTGCCCATCAACAGACAGTTGGTTTAATAAGATGCGGGGTGTGTGTGTGTGTGTGTGTGTGTGTGTGCGCGTGTGTGCGTGCGCGCGTGTGTGTGCGTGCACGCATGTGTGTACATATAAATATATACATATGTGAATATTACTCAGCCATAAAAAAGAATGGAATACTGCCATTTGCAGTAACTTGGGTGGACACAGAGGGTATCATACTAAGTGAAATAAGACAGAGGAAGGAAAATAATAGTTCAGTTCAGTTCAATCGCTCAGTGATGTCTGACTCACTGCAACCCCATGGATTGAAGCACGCCAGGCCTCCCTGTCCATCACCAGCTCCCGGAGTTTACTCAAACTCATGTCCATCGAGTCAGTGGTGCCATCCAACCAATTTCACCCTCTGTCGTCCTCTTCTCCTCCTGTCTTCAATCTTTTGCAGCATTCAGAGTCTTTTCAAATCAGTCCGTTCTTCACATCAGGTGGCCAAAGTATTGAAGTTTCAGCTTCAGCATCAGTCCTTCCAATGAATATTCAGGACTGATATCCTTTAAGATGGACTGGTTGGATCTCCTTGCAGTCCAAAGGACTCTCAAGAGTCTTCTCCAACACCACAGTTCAAAAGCATCAATTCTTCATTGCTCAGTTTTCTTTATAGTTCAACTCTCACATCCATACATGACTACTGGAAAAACCATAGCCTTGACTAGATGGACCTTTGTTGGCAAAGTAATGTCTCTGCTTTTTAATAT